CAACGGCCACTGAGTCTACCATGGTCCAGTGTACTCGCGACGCCTCTAACCGTCAGAAATGGAAGCACATCGCCAGGAGAACTACCAAGTACTTCGTCAGCGCAACCACAACCACTCCGACAAGAGTGCCCGACTAAGAAGATTGTGCATAAATAGAGGTAGGCGTCTCTACAACTGAATGCAGACAAAGTCTCAAACACCGGGTAAAAGAAGGACATTAAAATCTAAAATCAAATATCACCTGTAACCACGTACAAACATAGAGACAAAGCAATCGTTGATAGTTTCAAATCACCGGAATAAAAAGTGGACACCGAAACATAAAACAAAAAATTAAAAAGGGTCTCTTACTTCCAGTTGGAAACGGAATGTAAATGGAACTACACTCGCTTTGGGATATCCACTTCACCGTATGAGCGATCAAAAGGATTCTTCCATTTTGTTTTCAGAATTCCATTGTGCACAAATTACAGTTGGATTTCAAACTAACAACGGTTTCATGTTCCACGTACATTTGGCAGCACATCAGACTATTCATTTTTGTTGCAAAATAGCCTGTATTTCATCGAGATAAGACTCACTGTGTTGAGCTTGATGTGCTGTTGTCCGAGCAAAGGGAACGTCCACGCGCAGACCAAATAAACGTAAACCAATACGGGTTATGCCGTATTTCATTTTATAATTGGGGCTTGATAAGTCTGGATTTTCTATTGGTTTTCATGCGAGTGGTTAAAATTAATATCATCAAGTACCTACATAAGTATCAAAAGTCGTTGCTTTGGTTTTGTTATAATTTTGTCAACAGTTTTTTTGATAAAACTTAATGGTTATTACAAATTCATAACCACCCTGCAGTGTCCAAACTATACTCGTATATGAAAACAGTCTTAAAATAAATTTAATAAAAAGTTAGGGTGCTTTAAATGCTGAAGACTTTTCAAAGAGTAATTCTGCCATCAATTTTATAATCATTGTGTATGTTTATTCATGCTATTTTATTGTTGGTATACATATAATACGCAGTAAAAAGCAAAGCTTAATACCAAAAAGTAAACTATGTATTTACGTACAGAAACTACCTACAAGTAAGTCAAGTATTGAACTTTTCCAATTAATATTTGCGAGTATTACGGCACTATCACGTTAATTACGCAGGGTGCATAATGGAAAGCTATTAAAGGACGATGACCTGTGTGCCTACCATGAGTTTACGTTAGGTGTGCTCGCTAGCGACTGCGTAAAAAAAATACATTTAAATGTATGACATATTGTGCAGCGCCCCTAGCGGCTACTTTCAAGAAATAGAATCTTCATAGAATTTTTTGACGTATTCGCTAGCGAGCTCACCTAACGTAAACTCATGGTAGGCACACTGTACCTACTTCACTGGTTTAATTAACGTGTAATGAAATTACGCTGTACTTATTCAGAACTAGCTGTGCCCGCGACTTCGTACGCATGAAAACCCGTTTTCGCAACATTTTTCATTGTTGCTCTGCTCCTATTAATCGTAGCGTGATGTTGTATAGCCTATAGCCTTCCTCGATAAATGGACTATCAGACACTGAAAGAAGTTTTCAAATCGGACCGCAGTAAACAAACAAACAAAAAAACTCTTTAGCTTTATAATATTAGTATAGTAGATAGTAGATAATAACCAACTTACAGAGAGATGAATGTAAAATTCACAATTCTCACAACCTTAAGGCCTCAGCCTCGAACTTAGCGGGCAGCGGGGCGGCGGCGGCGGCGGCGGCGGCGCGGGAGCGGCAGGATCTTATGCGTAAAATCAAATAGACCGGTTCTCGAAAACAGCGGCGCGGCAGCGGGCAACGAGCGGGCAGCGGCGAGGGAGCGGGCAACGAGCGGGCAGCGCACTCCTTCTTTTGCCCACAATAAATCGAGCGTTAGGAATAAATTTGAATCGAAAAAAAATTTTTTCGCCGTTGTTCAGACATTTCGTTTGCGAATAAAAACAAATATCTCGACAACTGACACAACCGAGAGAGAGCTGCCCGCTTGTTTCGAGAACGGGTCTGCGTTGCCCGCCCCGCTCCAGCGCCGCCGCCGCTCCCGCCCCGCTGCCCGCTAAGTTCGAGGCTGAGGCCTAAGGCCCGATTTCCATCAGGGCGGAACAGAGCGAAAAAGTGTTTTGAATCACCAATCGGATTTTTTTATTTCCTGAATAATGAAATCTGATAGGTTATTCAAAACACCTCTCCACCTCGCTCTGCCTTGGTGAAAACCGGGCCTTAAGCTTGAAAAATAAATTGTAGATTAAAGGGGTAAAAAGTGGATTTATGAATCCCGTTTTGGAAAAGTTTGGTTTTCCACGTCAAATTCATACATCCAGTATATGTATAGGCACAGATAATATAATATAATNCCAAGTCAACATATTTATGTAAAACGTTAAAGATTTCCTGGCCTGGACTTGGTATTACATGGATCTCACAACTTTTTACCGTAGAACAACTGAGTTGCGAGACTTGGTTTTTTTGACAAGTATTGTTTTTGATGGGATATTATTTACTTATTTAATTATTATTTTACTGATGTTTTATTCCTTCTCTCTCTCTATTTATCGTCGCCGAACACGTAGAATTTCGTCCAATGACACCATGCTACCCATCCTTATCACTCGCGCGTAATTGTATTGCTGTCGCGCTCGCTCACTCACTTTGACGGCCCGTCCCCGTCGTACGGGCTCGGCGACCGGACTACAGCATCATTTTCGATTCACTTACACGTGCTGCGTGAATGGCTGGCATGCATACCTACTAAGTATATTGACGTTACTGGGATCGGGAGTAGCCCCAATGGATGGGTACCTGCCTACCAAGCTTGTTTTCATTTAGCGCGCGACACTGGTATTTTTAAATAAGTAGGTAGATAAGATTAATAATTCATAAATTAATCGTGTGCGTTACATCAGCGACATGGTGACGCTGGTCGGGATGTGCTTATGTGGAGGGGTTGGTGCCTTGTATCCTGTAAATGTGTCGAGAGTCTACCATTTGTACCTACCCGGTAAGGTTGCGGAGTACTTAATTGGTGAAAATGGGATTCCGCTGCGGTAATGCTTCTTATTTTCTTCAATTACTCCGAAATCTTATTGGGCAAAAATGCTAGATTCTCGTCTCGGCACATTTACAGGATTTAAGGCTCTACCTTTTCCATGACATAAGCACATCTTGATCAGCGTCACCATATCGTCGCTTGCCTCTCTAACTGACGTACCTAACTGACATTTTGCAAAATTTTCAGGCGATTAGATAGATCGATTCGTCTTGCGAAATTAATTAAGATGGCGTAGATAACTCCGTTTCGAAAAAAATGTCAGATACGTCACTTAGAGAGGCAAGCGACGATATCTCTGAGGTAACGCACACGAATGAATCTGCATTTTGATTTTAAATAAGTGAAATACAACTTGATGCAGACTGACATGTATTTGGGAGAGAACTTGCTTAAGGATAATTACCTACTGTCTACCGTAACATTCGCTGCCTGCCGCTCGCGCACCCTGCTTCTAATTTCAAGGACGCCAATCCAATGTGCCGCGCGGTCGCGTCTCGGCGTGGCCAGCTAGTAGGTAGGTAAATTATGATGCGTCGCCGCAGAGTAGCCGGCTATGGAGCGTGCGAGTGAGACAGCAAAGCTCTCACTTTGTTTATGTTTTGGCCGAATTTAATAATTAACAATGGAATTAAACAGGGGATTAACAATGGGTTCACTTTAATAGGTACTAGGTTAAGATTTTTTTTTATTTGCTATACATATCTTAAAATAAATTAAATGAGTAAAAAAAACATTAACTGCACCTCTGCACCGCACTTACCTACTAACAGCTCTCTGCGTGGCTGAAAGGTTGACTGGCGGATAATGCTCTTAACATTATGAACAAAAGGTGGACCTTAAACATTATTATCGGCAATACAGTTTATAACCGACTACACCAGAAAAAGGGTTATGTTTTTCCAGTGTATGTAGGTCTTTAGATTAAGATTCGTCTTAATTATTATTGTGAGTGACACTGGGTAGGTTATCATAATTGGAAGGAAAACAATCGAACCTTTTATAGCCACGATAGCCGAACGGTGAAGGGGTTGGAGTGGCCGACTCGAGATCCGGGGAACGCGGGTTCGAATCCCACCGCCGCTCGACTATTGTGGTGAGCCCACTCGTAACACAAGCTCATTTAGTTTAACACGAGGGGCTAATGGGACTATTAGTAATATTTGGAATACAAATTGCTAATAATCTTAAAAAAAATAATCAAAATTGTCGATTTTAGGCGCCACAATGTTAGACAAATTATAGCCAAACTTTTGTAATACTAATTTGTGTTTCTTTCATTTTTATTTGAATGTAGATGTTTTTTTTTGCATTTTGCAAGAAATATGACAATTAATAAAAATAATAATTTGTTGCAAAACCAAACCTATTTTAGTATTTTTATAAGTGACGAAATAAAACAGCAGCGATGAGCGCCATCTATTACATCATTTGTAACTAAATGCTACTTCGACAGCGCCGCAAAAACGATTGCTTAAGACTTCAGTTTTTACTAAAGATAAAATTTTATTATATGAAGAAATATTGTTTATCTGAATCATTCACTGTGTTTAAATGAACAAATTAATGTGTAAAACATTTTTTCATTATAGTTTACAGAGCATTAGTGACATTTTACAAACGTCTTCAGAAATTCGATGCTTATGTCGCCCTCTAGTGAGATTGATTTGGAATGATTCAAGATTTATAGGCATCGGGTTCCCGTGGTATAGGTATGGTTTCCTTTGGGGCGAGTCACGTGCCAATTGCGAAGACGTGGGAAATAATCCATGCCTTCCCTGAAAGAAAACGTACATTTATAAGTCAATCTATTAGCTATTAATGTTTAGGTAGGTATACATGATCGTTTATAAAATACATTTTGAAATATGTGATTGCAAAATTTGATAGAAAACATAAAGATAGGTACTATGAGCATAAAAGGGTCGATCAACTTTTTAACCGACATAAGCTTGTCCCGACGATATCGCATTCAAAAACGACTAAATTAAGATAATTTAAAAATTATTTTTAAGTTCCATTCAATTAACAGTTCAGAAACCTTAATAATAAACATATGAAATCTAGATAATATAAAGAAATAAACATTAAAACTATGGTAACTCAGCATACGACTTCTTGCCTTCCATACAAATTACAGCTGTCCCCAGAGCGAGGTGGCTATATGTAATTTCTAATGTAAGAAAAATTTTCCTTTAAGAGTATTCAAGTCAGCTAATAAATTGCTTATAAATTAAACAAGGTTTAGTTTGTACTTTGTAAAATATAAAAATATGTTATGATTTTAAAGAAAAAAGTCCCTAAAATTGTGTCCCGAATTCATCCCATTTTGTAGTGTATGCAGAGTTACCGCGTAAAAAATAAACAAACATTATGCTACACGTCACAAATTTCTAATGAAGAACAGCGGTACAACCTTTGTTTTTGGCCGCGCGGCGGCGAGCCTTTGATTGCAGCCGCCGCGCGGCCAGGCCGCGGCAAGCTATCGATGAGTGCGCGTGTGTTTATTCAGTGTCGGCGGAGTTACCGGATTATTTCGATGAACAGGTAAATGTTTTTATATTTCTTTATCAGATTTTCAAGGTCTCTAAGGCTGATTTCCCATGGGTCAACTCAAAACGTTTGCAATATTAGGAAATTTTAATTTACAAGCTATTACGTAAAAAATGTCTTCTGAGTTACCTGTATACTGCGTTACAAAAAGGTAACTCTAAAGACAATTTAGGTAACTCTTTAGACATTATACGATTTTCAAAGACAAAGTGTCATAATAAATTTATTAATTACTTTCAGATTGTAAACTCACTAATAATGGCGTTAACGGCGGCCGAAAAGCAGAAAAGGTTCCGTGAAAAATTAAAAAAAAATCCCGAAAAATATGAGGAGGCGAAACGATGTCCTTAAATTTATGAGCCGTTTTTGTGAGGTAACAATATGTGATTGATTTTATTTGAATGATTATTTTATGGTAACAGTAAAAGATGATTAATTACTTCAATTTCAGAGAAAAGTGTGATTTTATTTTAAGTTTTTAAATAAGTACAGAGAAAATTAACAATATGTATGACTCGTTAGTAACTCAGCATACATATTTCTCATATTTTAAGGCCTAAGTTTTAAAATTATATACAAATGCTGTATACCAAACTATTTGATTTTGCATGACTGAATAAATCTACCAAAATAAAAATTGAAGTCTTTTATTGTTTAAGAATTGCAGCGTAATCACTTTGAGTAACTCCGGTGACAAAACTATGGGTCAAGATTTATACTTTTGAGTTTTTTAATAAGAAGTAGTTCATAAAGTTTGCTGCTCGATTAGAAAACCGTATCTCAGATATATTTTTCATACTTCTGAGTAAATGAAATAGTTAAATACTCAAAAAAATATTTTAGCAACTTGCCAAAATTTTTCGCTCGTTATGTCGGTTAAAAAGTTGATCGACCCAAAAATCTAAATACGGTTAAAAAAATATAAAAATCCGTGATGCTAAAATCCGATATGTTAGACTAACCTAGATTTAAACTAGGTTAGTTAAATTTTCAGGTGGGCACACAAAAGAGAAATACACCACTTTGTTGTGGTTCCCAGTTTGATTGATAATTTAAAGGTCTCGTTTTGCTTTGATCAGGCTATGTCAGATACCTACAATCTAACAAGGTTGGTTATTAGGTTATTACTATTAAAAATAATAAAAAATAATAAAAATTGTTTATTTTATCAGACACACATTCTAGTGTGCGACCTGGAGCCTAAACTAGGGCCACCCTGTATTTCAGGCCTCAAACTATTGTAATCAATATTGAGCTAAGTATTGCTCAATTGAAACTGTCAGAAAGAAGCTACAGAATGCCTAAATTAAGCATGTGACGTCGACATTTTTTGTTATAAGCCATTGAAATTTAGGCGCGCTGTGCTGAGCTCCCTTACAGCGGCAGCAAATACCTGAATAATTGTGTTTCTATTTCTTACTTTTTAAATTTGCAACTGTCCACATTGCATGCCGTGGCAGCCTTTAATTAAGACAACACTTAGTTCTAAGCACTTTTAGTTATAGTAATTCCATGTATGCGTGTTTTTCTTGTTGGTTGTCGTAATAAATAAAATAAAATAAAATAAATTCACTACAGTAGACCACCATCTGCATCAGATTCACAACTAGACTACCATCATGTGCGTCTGCATTGCAATCACAACGCATGTCGAAAAGCTAAAATAACTAACCGTTTTCACAAACGGTACTTGCTTAAGTGAAGCAGCAAATCGAACGCACAGCGTTGAATAGAGCTCTGTGATTGGTTTGCGTGTGACCCTGTGCGTCCACGCGCACTGTGTGACCTCATAGTAATGTTTGTGAATACGGGTGTATGAGACATTTACCTAGATCAATAAAATTAGCATTCGAATGAAGGTACAGACATCACTTCAATTTTCGCAGTGGCATTTTATTTAGTTGTGCGTGTATAAAAATTAAATAGAAAAATATGCGAGCAATTTTCATGACTATTACATAGCTACTCGTATACCTTAGTCGTGAGGTCTCGGATCCAATTTACAGCGAGGCAGGCATATCATTCCGAGTGAAGAATTCCATAATGTTGCCACTGTAGAATATTAGAAATCTTTGAAATACTTTTCAATAAGTTCCTTTGAAATTAAAATCTGACTGTCTACATTTTATGCACGCGTATCTATTGTTAAGGTGGTGGTCCAGTCACGTAAAGTAAGTGAATACATGACAGTAGCATAAATTAGATGAACATATTTTATTGTCTTTTATGCCAATTAAATTCAGTTTGTCACGAGCTTTAAAGCCTTGATACTTAAAATAAAATGATAATCTGTGTAGGTGTTGTTAAGGCTGTCGCGACACATGCACAGCTTCCAGTGCATTCGTCCCAATGATATTATATAAAAACAAAAGCAGATATGTTATAAGCGCTCGCGCTGTGAATACTCAAATACGTCCCAATTGGGACGTATTGTGTTTAGTCTTCGTGTGGCCTGCGTCGTGCGCAATCGCGTGTACCACACCGTAAGTTCCTGTGTTCTTACCAAAATAAATAAAAAATGCCATCGTGTGTGTTTCGAAAGTGTACCAATTATGACTCTAAAGTAAACAAAATACAAGGGATCTCTTACCACATGTGATTATGCAAAATTATTTAGTATTTATATTTTCAATTATTTATGCAAACAATCAAGACGCCATGCGCCATGTTCAAGTTAAGAAAGAGAAAGCGATCTTGTTTTGACGTTAGAGCGATAAGGATGCGTGCGCTGCGGACATAGATTAGTTAGTGCAGAATCGTTAAAACTATAGCTATCTCTTTCATTTGCGTGCTATTTCGTATCTTTTGTTTCACTTATCAGTTACATTTGTCAATGTGTGCAATTTGGAATAGCTCGGCACGGATTAAAATCGTAATTTCTATGAACGTAACATATCTATAGTTCTGGCCGCTGTGTATGTGTAAGGTCGCAAGTCTAACCTAACCTAACCGAGACTTTGTTATCCAGCTACAGGAGTACTAAAACCTTCATGCCAATAACAGTTTAATAAAAGAGATGTTAAAATTAGGGTTTTCCAATACTTCAGCGTAATATGCGTGATGCCGAAAGAAAGGTATGCCAATAGGCAAATATTTTTTCAGTCAAAGTATAATAGTGTGAAAACAACTTTCAGGCTAAACAATAATAGTTGTGAGTTAAAAGTACCTATCGGCCAATGTGGTTTGGCTAAATGAAATTTTAGACGTACTGAGGGGCACCCGATCACACGACCGCGCTTGTGTCGCTTAGTTTTATACATTTCCTAATACAATATTGGAATTCTATAAAATTCCTAGGAAAAGTATACATGTCCTAGGATATGTGCGTATTAAAAAATCTCTGAAGCAATATTTTATACATTTCCTAAATAGCTTCGGAATTGTATACATTTCCTAGGAATAGTATACAATTCCTAGAATTCATACATTTCCTGTAACATTTATAAAAACAGCAGTCCGACTCGTAAAACGTTCCAGTTAAGTTCATTGCAAAATCGACCTTATCATAATGAGGATATGTTACTGACCTGCCTGATGAAGGTGAAGGGCCTCTGTCCCAGCGCGTGGCAGTCCCCGATGTTGGCGCGCACCACGCGCTCGAACGGCTTCGGGACACCCTGCGATTAAAAAAAGTCTCATAAAACTCATTTATTTTTGCAAATAGGCTTTTAAAAAGCACTTTTACACGTCCCAGTATTAACCCTACCACTGCTTCGGGAAAATAAATGGGCCAGTGCCAAAAAGCAGCTCTAGAAACTCAGTCACTATTGGGACACTCAATAATTGTTCTTCTTTATAATACTTGTCAAATGTTAGTTACTTAATATTCAACATTCCAATCTGGTAACCTAGAACAAAATGTTTACATTATTATATTACAACTATTAGGTTAAGTTCAGTACAAGTGTAGAACGACTTAGGCATTGTGTGGTTGGTGTACTTAGATACAAGTAAACTTTAGTTCAAGAATACTAAGGTGACCAAGCAGCGAGCTTAGAAAAGCACCCAGAATTTATGCAGTTTTGTAAACGCGCATCACAATAATAAGGTGATTTTTACCACTTTAATTTGTGATGACGCAAATAGCTAAAGATTAAAAGCTCAGCAATTCTCATTCCAATTCGAGGTAATCTCTAAGCGCACCCATTTTGAGATGCACCTAATGAAGCGCACCTAAACTATATACCTCGAAACGCACCTATGTTTGGTATAGGCAACCATAGGGCCTTTAAGTCACTCAAGTAAGAAAAAAGAAATTTTTCGGGAAATAATAATAATAGGTCATGCTGTTCAAGAAAAATCTTAGATGCTACGATGTTTCATGGCTACTAGGTACATAATACTGTACTATACTATACCTACAGTACTGAGTACAGAACAGATAAGAAGTTCGATTAGTATTTATAGTAAACACACTATCTGCTAGACCTTTGTGCCCCGCTCTGAATGTATAGATAGATAGATAGACATAGGCTCTGTCTAATCTAATTACCTACATCATTTTTATGAAAAGCTAAGTACTAATGCACGTCATTCATTTGTTATCAATAAATATGTATGTATGAGTAGTCGTTTTGAGAATAGAATAAAACTCATTTTCACCGGCTGCAGTAAAAAAAAAACTCTTACGTCTGATTTAAAATGACTCGAAATAATCTCAAATTAAAAATTTGTTTATTATTCAAGAGTTCATTCGTTATTGTTTGCTTAAAACTTTCCTCAAATAAATCTGCGAAACGTAACTTTTTACAGGTAACGTAATTTTCTGACAATATTGAAACATTTGCAGGAGACTTAACTTGGTAGACGATCATTTTGTCTGAGACTGCACAAGCATTATAGGTTTCATATAAAAAGTTTTTCTTACGAAAAGGGAATTGTAAGCATTTTCCAGCCCACGGTCCCAGACAGCGGGTGCAACGAACGTCAGCCCCGACGTCACCAGCCAGACAGGGACTACGCCCCAGGCTGTGATGGAGTTACGCTAGCTCCACTTACCCATCAAATTCGTCTGATGCGAACATTTTCAATGTATTTTTTGTAGAAGAGCAAAGTAAGCGTTTCTGATAGTTTTAATTTACATTTTAGGGTTAGGTTTTTTGATTACATAGCGTTTTCTTTTAATTCAATATTGTGAGGTGCTTTTATTTAAAATTTCTTTATTAATTGTTATTATAAATATGGAACTAAACCGCTTAAAAATGTAGTGACAAAAATCTTTGTCACGATCGCGGACGTTCTGAAATGCAAACAAACGATGCAACTGAAAACGTTAGAAATTCCACACCGGATATCTGTATAGCGCATAAAAAACACACATGAATAAAATAACAGATCGCAATCCATTCCCGTCGGTTTATGTCCCGTGGCACAAAAACTATGGCAATAAAAATTGTTCAATGCTCATATTTTATCGGGACGAGCGGCGGTCGTGGACGCCGGCGCCTGGGCAGGCCGGGCCCAGGGCAATCTGGGGTCAATAATGCAAGCCTATGGTCATAATAATATGCAGATACGCGAACGCTCAAGACTCACGTGACTTGTTTGTGCTTAAAAACATTATTTAATGAAGCACCTATTAGCTGTAATTAAAAGATGAAATAGATAGGTAGGTATCATAGAATTTAGTTTGATGTGCTGGATCGTTGTAGGTACATAATAGACCAGTAGAATTAAACACAAAAATTGATTAAATCGGAAATAATTCCTACAAAAGATTTTTTTGCTTTAATGGCTTCATTGGTTGCCCATTAAGACTCTCCTAAGTTTTCGACTTCGACGGAGTTGTGCTTAAGTGGTGGGGGCCCCGAAAGCGGCGTTTTTTCGGTTTTCCGGTTATACCGCGTAAAGGACTTACCCTATCGAAAAGTGGTCTTCATGACGGCACTTAATCCTGCATTGAATAAGACCAAATTCATATGTTTTGGACAAACCGTTCTCGCGCTAAAGTTCGGCAAAGTAGAAAATATACGTATAATTAATGACCCTCTCCACGTCCAATGGCTTGTTACCCACATGCTTCCAAGCCTTGTAAAGGGTCGCCTTAATCAGTGTAACCCTAACAAGGCTCACGAGTTTGATTCGCTTATCCTTGTTCGTCCCAGCCGTTCCTTAACTGCGGTTGCTGCACCTCTTCCTGACACTCTCCTGAACGACTCTGTGTTACCTAATGTGGCTGCCTCTCTTCCTTGTACCCTCCTGTACGATTGCATTGCTTAGCTATATGCCTGGTCCAAGGTTCGACGCCACAAAATCGACTTTGTACGCGTGAAAATAGTTTAAATACTATTTTCCGTGCTTGCAACATTTTTCTTTACTGCTTCGCCTCTATTAGTCGTAGAGTGATTGTATATATCCTATAGCCTTCCTCAATGTATGAGCTATTCAACACAAAAATAATGATTTCAATCAAACTAGTAATTCTTAAGATTAGCGCGTTCAAACAAACAAACAAAAAACTCTTCAGCGTTTTAATATGAACTTGTTGTTGTTGATTTTTGGCGTCGAACCTTAGACCAGGCATACGGCTAGGCAACGTAGTCATGCAGGAGGATACAAGGAAGAGGGGCAGCCACAGTAGGTAACACAGAGTCGTTCAGGTGAGTGCCAGGAAGAGGTGCAGCAACCGCAGTTAAGGAACGGCTGGGAACGTCAAAACAAGATCGCTTTCTCTTTCTTAACTTGAACATGGCGCATGGCGCGATGGCGTCTTGATTGTTTGCATAAATAATTGAAAATATAAATACTAAATAATTTTGCATAATCACGTGTGGTAAGAGATCCCTTGTATTTTGTTTACTTTAGAGTCATAATTGGTACACTTTCGAAACACACACGATGGCATTTTTTATTTATTTTGGTAAGAACACAGGAACTTACGGTGTGGTACGCACGCGATTGCGCACGACGCAGGCCACACGAAGACTAAACACAAGACGTCCCAATTGGGACGTATTTGAGTATTCACAGCGCGAGCGCTTATAACATATCTGCTTTTGTTTTTATATAATATCATTGGATCAAAGCATACCAGCGCAAAGCGACTTTGTTTTATACTATGTAGTGATAGTGATGGAGCATGCATTCCGCTCATGTTAGCTCCACAGTATCTTGATTAGCTATCTAACAACAGTAACTAGTTTGTTTGTAAACTGTTTTATTGTTTGATGGTTGCAAGCGCGACATTATTAGCGTTCTGATAACGGGAACTTTATCTCGCAAGAACAAGTACTTGAGTACTCCTTGGATAATTTTAAAGCAAATAGAAGATCATGTCTGTTTAATTCAAGTGTGTTTATTTAAAAATTTGAAGCCTCGTATCTGAATTCAGGGAGACAATCTTCGGAGTTAAGCGCCGTGTCAAGGTTTTCGTATTCCATTACGGGCGAATTCATATCTTACATGTGATCTAGTAATCCAGTATTCAAACAACTTCTTTTGTAACCCATTCACTTATGAATGCATTTCAATTTAGAAATTATTATGCTAGCAACATCATCTAGCCTACAGTAACAATGACTAACCTAGCTTCGCGATGATAAACATTCGAGAATAATGTGGATGGATGTGAAGTTTGAAATCCCATCCATTATTTATTACTTACTAGCGGCCGCCCGCGACTTCGTAAGCGTGGATCCCGTTTTACCATCGTAGGGGCTGAATTTTGCAAAATCCCGTCTTAGTGAGCACCTACGTTCTAAAAGGAACCCCCCATTGCAAAATTTGAGACTCCTAGCACTTGTTTCCGAGATTTCATGATGAGTGAGTGAGTCAGTGGCCTTTCGCTTTTATACATAGATGAGTTTACTTGATAAATAAATGAATTGTCTTTCCAGGTGTGATGATCCCGATCCCGCAGTACCCACTGTACTCGGCTTCCCTAGCGGAGTATGGCCTGTGTCAGTGCGGCTACTACCTTAACGAGGAGACCAACTGGGGCCTTGACATCTCCGAGCTGGAGCGCGCTAGAGAAGAGTGCTTGAAGCGCTGCGCTGTGAGAGCGCTGGTGGTCATCAACCCCGGCAACCCTACGGGGCAGGTGAGCGCCTATTAAAGCCCTAGTATCATAGCAACCATTCCTCTGTAGTCTAATAGTTAGATCCATAAGTCTACTACCTCAACGAGGAGACCAACTGAGGCCTCGACATTTCCGAGCTGGAGCGGGCGAGAGAAGAGTGCTTGAAGCGCTGCGCTGTAAGAGCGCTGGTGGTCATCAACCCCAGCAACCCCAGCAACCCTACGGGGCAGGTGAGAACTTAGCACCATCATCACTTCATGTCTCTAGTGTAGGAAAAAATACGTATACATGAAGAAAAATAGAGACAAGATTTTGAGGTCTATGTAGGATTTTTATCACGACATTCATTTTTTTTTCAATTTAAAAAATTAATTCAATTGTGAAGAAAACGAATACGACATCAAAAAATAATTTGGTATGGTATACGATATGGTAGAGTAAAACGATTTCTTTATTATTATAGTTAATGTTGTGTGACTTGGCCGTTGAACAATCTTTATTAAGATAATCATACAATAAGTATTATTGAAATACGCAGCTTTATTAAGCCTACAATTAACTGGTTATTGAATCAACGTTTTCCAAGTGGCAATTTTCCATCGCCAATGGGTAGCGGTTCTGGCGACAGATTGGTGCAATGGTGTCATGGATTACCTGGTTTTGTACCCTTCAACGGCCAAGTCACACAACATTAACTATAATAATAAAGAAATCGCAGTAAGGAACCATAGACTTGGCACGACTTTGTCTAGATTTCATTACTTTTTAGAGATAAACAAGCAGCTCCATCGAGACTTGGCTAGTTTTTTACAGAATGTTTTTGGTGGGATTTCACTTCTTTTTGTAGAAAGTGGCAAAATTATTTAACGTCGTCGTTTTATCGACATTTTTTACGATATTAAACACAAATAAACTCAACGACATTTAAAATGGACAACGAATCAGAATTGTTTTAATAACATAACCTTAGCGAACCTTACAATATAATAAACGAAATCAACGAAATGCAAATTACACAACATTCAACTTAATCGACGGGGGGCTCTAGAAAGGAAAAACACCGCTTGCTAGTGCTAGCGCCATCTAGCGGTGAGCGATACAGGCGAACACCACGGTGCCGGAGTAGAATTTATTATGAATGTGGTGTTACTCCAGATCTTCGATTTTCCTAGTTTTTATAGTTTTCCCTTTATGTGGCCATTAAACCCTAACTCTGTACCAAATTTCAGCTCTCTGAGTTTATGGGAAGTACTAGTTCTATTTTGATGATTATCAGTGAGTGAGTGTCGTAAATGCGAAACTTTGCTTTCGCTTAACTTCGGAACTAAATGACCAACAGACTTGAAATTTTGGATTTTAAGTACGTGATTATAGCTTACTAGATGACGAAAATTTCTGCGTTCTGGTCTTATCCAGAGGTTCTCAAATATGGGCCTGAAAATGCGGCGAAATGGTTCCAGTAAAGGATGGTACGGCAGTGTTTGCTTCGCGCTCGACTTGGCGGGGGCACTGCCGTGCCCCCAGATAAAATACGCTTTTAAGTATTTATTTTCTATTAATTAACTAAGACAAACAAGAATTACTTTTATGAAATACCAAAGCAGTATCGGGATGTGCCTTGACCTTACTGACGCCACAATAAAGGAACCAAAGTCCGAAGTTGAAGCTATGTCCAATTACGTTTCTATCAAGTGAAGTAATCAGTAAATATTTATGATTATGTATACGAACTGTATCGCGTTGTTTACGTTGAAGTAATAGTTAAATTAACCACTGAAACGATCAACGGGACTACTCTGTGACATAGTTTCCATAATTTACGGATATATTTATCGTTGCCGCCCATTCTGATGTCTCGTTGTGATTGAGATGCGATTGTAAAATATGTAATCGATTAATTTGCCATAGAACTATTGTTCTAACGGCCTACTAAACCATTTGAAGTAAAAAAGGGGCAGTTCTTGGCATCTTTAATATGTAGATTAAAACATACGTCTTTGTATGATGTCAGTTCCTTATTATCTCTAGTTTATTTATGAAGATAAAACAGGTAAAATATGCAAAAAAACTTCATGCGTAAACCAATATCTATTCATAAATATTATAGCCTAGTTCAGATTTACGGCTGATCTAAAATAGTTTATGAACTACACTCGACCTTGGGTTCAGCGCAGGGCACCATGCCAAACCCGGCTTTTATGGAAAATTTCGACGCTAATTACCAATGATTTGTTGATTACCATGAAAAAACAAAGATTTTTATATTTGCACACCTGGCCTAAGATGCGCTATAAACTTTTATCGAGGTATGACATCGATTTCGCACGATAAGCATTAACTAACATTTTCGCTGTTGGTTTCTATAAATAAATAAATAAATAAACCGATACGTTTTTCGTTTACAATAATCGATAAGACTATCATTGCCCAAATTTTAACCCAGACTGGTCTGAACTAATCTACAAATTGCGTTCTTGAGAGGATAATTTCCTGGGGCGGCAAATGTCTGACAGTTCACTTCCCAGAGGAAACAACTCACGAGATACAAAAGTCAGGTCAACCTTCTGTAATCAAAACTATTAGGCTGGTTTTAGTGTCACGCGGACCCGCTCCGCACGGCCAATCTGTATGAACTTCTAGGGAGCGTTTTAGAGTAATGCGGTCCGGAGGAACCGCTCCGCTCCCTAGCAGTTCATACAAATCGGCTGTGCGAAGCAATCCGCACTGACAGTCCGCGTGACACTAAAACCAGCCTCATAGTCTTCACGCAACGATGAATATCATTTAAATGATATTTACTTTACAGGTTCTGACCCGCGAGAACATCGAGTCGATCATCAAGTTCGCGCACAAGCACAAGCTGTTCATCTTCGCCGACGAAGTGTACCAGGACAACGTCTACGCGGAGGGAAGCAAGTTCTTCTCTTTCAAGAAGGTCAGTGTCATAGAACGGTGACGTCAAAGTAGCCGCTATAGACGACAGCTTCAGACAACGACAGCTTGTCCTTGAGACAAGACGTTAGATATTACGATTTTTTTTATGAGTTCTGCAACTTGGCAATCTGTGTTAACACAATAAGCCATTCAGATGAGGTATCTTCCTGTGCCCACCAGTTTCGATGCCAGTTCATTGACGTGAGTTGATATTCTCGTTTGATAGCTTTCGCTGTATTTAGCGATCTCTTGTTTGACGTTCTATTTGTTGCTCACGTAGTCGGGTAGTTTACGAATAAAAAAGTCTTCATGTCCATTAGGTCCCGGCATTCCTTGGTAGTTATCTATCTACTTGTAACTATTTAGCCGTTTTTAAACAGTACAATGCAATGTTATTAATCCAAAAAAGGTTACACGGTTACGCTATTTGGATTGGAGATTGATAAATTCAAGTACATGAAATGGTTAAACTTCCTTTTCATTGTTGTCAAATTCACTCTTGTGCCGTTTTTTCTACTGTTTGATATATCATCATATCGTTTTTCAGGTGTTGAGAGAGATGGGCGGGCCCTACGACAAGGAGGTGGAGCTAGCCTCATTCATGTCAGTCAGCAAGGGTTACGTGGGCGAGTGCGGCCTGCGCGGCGGCTGGATGGAGCTCGTCAACATGGAGCCCGTGGTGCAGGCCAACCTTTACAAGGCCATCTCCGCCATGCTGTGCCCCACCACGCTGGGGCAGACCACCGTCGACTGCGTGGTGAGTGTCATGTGCCACGTGTCATGAGGCTGCCACGTGTCACTAGGCTGCCACGTGTCACGAGGCAGCCACATGTCAAAAAGGCTGCCACTGATCACGAGGTTTCCACGTGCCACGAGGCAGCCACATGTCATAAGGCTGCCACTGATTACGAGGTTTCCACGTGTCACGAGGCAGCCACATATTACAGACCTGCCATAGACCACGAGGCTTCCACGTGACTCGAGGCTACCACGTGTCACAAGACACACTCACCACGAGAATGCCACATGATATGAGGCTTCTACGTGACACGAGATTGCCATGTGACACGTTGCGCACTGGCTATGTCGCGTACCACGTGGCATGTCATTCATGTCAGTCAGCAAGTGTTACGCGGGCGAGTGCGGCCTGCGCGGCGGCTGGATGGAGCTCGTCAACATGGAGCCCGTGGTGCAGGCCAACCTTTACAAGGCCATCTCCGCCATGCTGTGCCCCACCACGCTGGGGCAGGCCACCGTCGACTGCGTGGTGAGTGTCACGTGCCACGAGGCTGCCACGTGTAGCAAGGCTGCCACTGATAACGAGGCTACCGCATGGTACGAGGATACCACGTGCCAAAAGCTGCCAATGACTACGAGGTTGCCACAGGGTACGAGATTGCCACATGTCGCAAGGCTGCCACTTTTTTTTATGCAAGACAAGGCAGTTATTTGACCGCAATCGCACCTGATGTCAAGTGAGATGCAGTGTAGGATGCCACTTACCATGAAAATGCCACATGGTACGAGGTTTCCACGTGACATGAGATTGCCATGTGCCACGCGGCGCACTGGCTATGTCGCGTACCACGTGGCATGTCGCTCCTGTCAGTCAGCAATGACTAAAGCCTGGTCCGTGAGCACGTAGAATTTTGTCCAATGACCCCTAGCTACCCATCCTTATCGCTCGCGCGTAATTATATTGCTGTCGCGACTGTGCGACTGGCACCCGCAGTGAGTGTGCGAGCGCGATAGCAACATTGGACAAAATTCTACGTGTTCACGGACCAGACTATACACGGACTATAATGTTGGAGCGGTCTCTCCGAATTGCAAACATGGGTAACAGTTCGTTTCAGCCTATGACGTTCACTGCTGAACGAAAGCCTTCTTCCCCAAGGATTTCCACAACGTCCGTTGCTTCGCTTCCCGTAACGTTCACTAAATCGTCGGTCCAATACGTGAACGGCCTGTCCAACCACATAACGTTTTTCGGTTCGTGATGGCCGCTTATCCACAAGGTCATTAATTCTTCGAGCTATGTTCTCCGTCCAGGCAACAGTTCAATAAATAACTAATATCTTTACATGTCCTTTCCAGGCTAAGCCGCCGCAGCAAGGCGAGCCGTCGTACGACCTGTGGCTGAAGGAGAAGACGGCGGTGTTGGACTCGCTGAACAAGCGCGCCAAGATGATCGCCGAGACCTTCAACAAGATGGAAGGCTTCTCCTGCCAGGTCGTGCAGGTCGGTGCATGCGTTCTAGTCTTTAAGGTGTCGGCATAAGATAGCTGATTTTTAGCTTGATCTCTGTCGACTATAGGACCTGTGATGAGCGGTATGTTGGACTCATTTGACATGCAAATCGCGCGTCAGATTAATAAAGCATTAAAGTAGTCTTGAAGTTCATAACCCATATATGTCCAGAGGCACGAAAACGACTAAATGGTACAAGTTCTATAAAAGAAACTGTAAATATGCCAAATTACATAAAAATTTGAGATTTAAATAATTTTGGGCATATATGGGATAAGGGCGTGTTTGAACCAAAAACAAATGCAAAAATGTGACTGAATTTCTCGCGCTACTTCTCAGCACTGGCCCATTTATTGTCTAAAAGCAGAGGAAGGGTTAATTTTGTGTCAGCTCTCCTCATTCTAAGACGCCAAGACAACTCAAGTCTTGGTGTCTGATCTCTGTCTGATCTGATCATTAATCTCAGCTCCTCCTTTGAAACGATTGTCCACCACGTGATTTGCGAGCGTCCTCTATCCTTCGGGAACTGCTAGGGGTTGTTTTTGATTACTATTATGATTGAAAAGCAAGCGTTACGTTCCCAGGGCGCCATGTACGCGTTCCCGCAGTTCCAGCTGCCGGCGCGCGCGGTGGAGGCGGCCAAGAAGGCGGGCAAGGCGCCCGACGTCTACTACGCCTTCAAGCTGCTCGAGGAGACCGGTCAGTTCACATCCTTAAGGCCTATTCAAACCTGAGCGATATTCGCTGCCGCTGTGGGTAGAGGTACATACCGCGCGGGTTTCGCTCAGGTATTTAGTAACAAGTATCGCGGCTAGAGCGACCTGAGCGATATTTGCTGCCGCTGTGGGTAGAGGTACATAGGTAGACGGTAGCGAATACCGCTTAGGTCTGAACAGTATTATTACCGCATACCCACTGGGTTTTCTCTGCCGCAGACGGTAGCGAATACCGCTTTGGTCTGAATAGGCCTTTATGCTATTTCTTATGTTCCGGCCACAATCACGGGAAATGCCATTAATTATTGCGATAGTGGAGGTTAACCGTAGGTGTAGCCACGATTTGACGCGATAATTTGACAACGGCATTAACATTGCCTTTTGGCGTTAGGCGATAGCTCAGAGATTTACGCGAAAATTAATGCGATGAAGCGGCCACACCACACTATGTCAGTGTCGCAATAATTATCGCAATAATTGGGATGAAGTCCAAATTCTATTTAGTCCGTCAGATAGATAATAAAAAAAAATATTGGACACGTATTTTTTTTATTTTTTCATAATAAAATAATTATAGCCTGACCAGGAACATAAAAACCCNTGATTAATATCAGAGACTAACTACAACCCGTGTCTCATTCATACGGTCTCCCAACATGGCACACAAAACATATCCAAATCAAACTCCGGCTCCCGGCCTACCACATTATTCAGGACATCCATTATACATCACTGACGCATTGGTTTGAGCGCTTAAATATTAATCAGCCTTTCCAAATAATTTTATATCACGATAGGTTATTGACGATTAATTATAGAGGACATTAATATCAAAGATTAATTTTTGGAACCTATGAACGAATGTTGGTAACTTTTAATCACCACAACCTTTGTTTTAAACTATGGTTGGCATCCAAGGGCGCTTGAATTGACTTTACCAAGAATCTAAATGCTTAATCAAAATCACTTATTTTAGAATCATCAACTAACTTCATTCAATTCAAGAACATCCCAATCAATGGAAACTAACATTCTAAGATTCAAACTAATAAGAATTTTATATTGTGATTTTAGTTAAGTTGAAAATCAAAGTGCCCTTATTTTACCTTTACATTAATAAACATTACCTTTTAGACCAAACGTTCTATGGGTAAAGAGAAAATCCCAATGTGTTTAGAGGAAAGTAATTACTAACATTAGCACTCTGATTTCGTGCATTAGTGGACATGTACCAAACGAAGCACGTACCTTAGTGTATAAATAAGTATAACATTCTATTGCTATTTATTTCCTCCCACGGGAGAATCAACGTCTTTCCATTACCCAGTGGACATTTCTAAAAATAAATTCAATTTATTACATTTTACCCGCAAACCACCACAAAAAACGAAAACAAGTCATTCTTAAGGAAAACGTAAATAAAATTACTTTTATTCCGTTTCCACGTAAAAAAACTTTCACGATGCACGTGATAAGTGTATTCCACACTATTTGTTATATTCAAAGGGAAGAAAATTACACAATTTTCCGGGAAAATCCAATGACGTTATCCCACAATGGTCGGGCCTAATTGATGAAATGCGTGTCGGATGTATTGTCATAATCACCTCACTGCGCCATTAAGGTGCGTAAAAACACACGAAATAGATAAAGAATTGGCAGAAAAGCTATCTATATTGTTTTTATGTTACAAAACATTCAATGATGTGCCTATTATTGACGGTACATGATAAAAAGAACTGGTATTGGGGCTTTTTAAACCCTAATTGGCTCATTAAGCTTGACATGAACAACGTACGTGAAAGGAAAAAGTGTCGTTTTTAATTACCCGACTGCGCGCAAAGTGGGTAATGTATTAAAATAAAATAGTATATTGAGTACATAGGTCCTTTCCAGGGCACTTATACACGTCCCAAATATAGCTTGCCTTACCACCACTTCAAGGTCGCGGGAAGAGCCTGGATGCGGGCAGCACAGGACCGTTAATTGCGGAAAACCTTGTGGGAGGCCTTTGTCCAGCAGTGGACGCATTTGGCTGAAACGAACGAACCACCACTTCGGGACAACATTATGGGCTGGTGCTGAGAAAAAGTGGCGGAAGAAACTGAGTCACCTTGGTCAGTCTCAATCAAATATTGATATTTGATACTCACATGCAGTCGCCCAGAATAGTGCGCACGCGCTCCTTGACGTCTGGCGGCACGTCGGCAATGGACACCAGCTGAGGACACGACGCAAGGGCCAACACCTGCGGAGAGACGTCTTTTAACAAATGAAGTTTACTTTGAACTGTATTTTAATGCTCAAGTTGTAAAAAAAAACTGCCATTCCCTTAAAACTCAAACACGTTTCAAAACAAAATGTACAGTGTATTTTATACCTAAAAACAGCAGTCTTAGTGAACCATTTGCATAATTTAACATGTCCTTTTCCAGCTGTTGATTCCAACCAAGTACTGTTTTTTTTTAAATGTAATTTACGCAACTTAATTATCTTACGTTGCACTTGCAAATCGATTAAAGTAATATTTCGAAACGGTCAAAACTGATTTCGTTATTAAACGATCGGGCTCGTAAAACGTTCCAGTTAAGTTCATTGCAAAATGAACCGTATCCTAATGAGGATATGTTACTGACTAGAGATGGGTTATACTAGGTAAAGATACTAGGTCCACCTATTCCTAGTATTTATTAATACTCGATCCAAATACCTATTCCACCTAGTACGTGATAATTTAGCATACTTGACGCGACTAGTGCGGACTAATCCACGTAATATGACTTTAAAATACTTTTTTTTTTTAATATACAACCGTAGTATGAATAATGCAATTTGAAATTGAATAATAATTCCTCCCTTCATACTTCAACAGGCTTAGGACTGTCAACTTAAAAGTTGGCGTATTTAAAAGATATCAATTTCATAAAAATATTTACATATGGTTTGACTACGTTTGTGTGCGTTTGCTTCGTCGCGCTCAAATTTGATTGGTCAGACAGAGACGGAGTGAATCTCTACGTTCGCACATAAGCTTAGAGCTTAAGCGAGAAATACTAGGTGCGCGTAATACACGACTACGGATTACGCAATAATAACCTCTATTACTTTGATGATAGGGTCGGAAATCGTGTAATTTATAAAATACTAGGTGGATCAAGTATTTTAAAAATTGGAATAGGTGCCGCCTAGTACTGTAAAATACCTAGTGTGTGGATCTGTTCTAGTAAATACGTCTCATCTCTATTACTGACCTGCCTGATGAAGGTGAAAGGTCTCTGTCCCAGCGCGTGGCAGTCGCCGATGTTGGCGCGCACCACGCGCTCGAACGGCTTCGGGACACCCTGGAATGGGACACGCATTCTTCAATAAATAAGTATTTATTATTAAGTAATAACCTACCTTACATCAAGTAAACAAATACTTGATAGTCTTGTTTAATGTATTTCCTGTATCTATTAATTGAAAAAGAGACTGACAAAGCTGACTGAGTTTCTTCCGCCACTTCTTCTCAGCACCAGCCCCTAGTGCCGACCAAGCAGCGAGTTTAGAAAATCGCCCTTAATTTGTTCATAGCTTTGTAAACACACATCACAATAATGAAATGCTTTTTACCACGTCTTAATGAAGCACACAGCTAAGGAATAAAAACTGCAATGCTCCGCAATTCTCCTCCCCCAATTCGAGGTATCCCTTAGGGTACTTATTCCTCGAAGGGAACCGTTTTGAAGCACACCTATTGAAGCGCACCTAAACTAGGTATTCCTCAAAACTCATAGGCAACCATAGGGCCTAAAGGCCCTACTTTATAGATATTTTTCTTATCTCCTAGCTTTTGCCCGCGGCTTCACCCGCGTGTAATTTAGTTTGTCACATAACGTCATAAATTATAGCCTATATGTTATTCTGGGTTATAAACAATAAGTAAAGTTTCATCAAAATCCGGTCAGTAGGTAGTTTTTGCGTCAAAGAGTAACAAACATCCAGACATCCAAACTTTCGCATTTGTAATTTATAATATTAATTAGGATAGAAAGTAAGATAGGAAGTAGGAAATACACTGCAGCGTTTGCTGATCTAACAAATAGGTAGATATCACTTGTTGTTTAAGAATATCTTAGATGCTACGATGTTTCATGGCTACTAGGTACTTAATACTGTACTACTATACCTACAGTACTGAGTACAGAAAAGATAAGAAGTTCGATTAGTATTAATAGTAAACACACTATCTGCTAGACCTTTGTGCCCCGGTTTGAATGTCATAGGCTCTAATCTAATTACCTACATCATTTTTATGAAAAGTTAAGTACTAATGCACGTCTTTCATTCGTTATCAACAGCTTAACATGAATTGAATAAATCTGATTTTCACCGGCTGTAGTAAAAAAATATTTTCTTACGTCTGATTTAAAATTACTCGAATTAATCTCAAATTAAAAAAATATATTCAAGACGGAAGGTAACGTAATTTTCGGATGTAACAATATTCAAACATTAAACAAACTTAACTTGGTAGACGATCTTTGTCTGAGACTGCACAAGCATCTTAAGGCGTGATATAAAAAGTTTTTCTTACGAAAAGCGAATTGTAAGCACTTTCCAGCCCACAGTCGCAGACAGCGGATGCAACGAACGTCAGACCCGACGTCACCAGCCAGACGGGGACTACGCCCCAGGCTGTGATGAAGTTACGCTAGCTCCTCTTACCCATCAAACTCGTCTGATGCGAACATTTTCAATGTATTTTTGTAGAAGAGCTAAGTAAGCGTTTCTGATAGTTTTAATTTACATTTTAGGATTAGATTTCATGATTACGTAGCATTTTCTTTTAATTCATTATTTGTAGTGCTAATACTTATGTAGATTCTTAATAAAAATATGGGACTAATGCGGCATTAGTCCAAAACAGGCATTAGTAATGCCTGTTTTCACCATCAATTCCTAATTTTTGAGTGACCTCTTTGAGAAAAAAATTCCTGTCATGTGTTAGGTACCATAAGGGTCACTTAAAAATTAGGGACTGATGGTGAAAACGGACATAAACCGCTTAAAAATGTAGTGACAAAAATCCGGTGTCAAATATAAAATAAATCGAGTAATCTTTGTCACGAACGCGGACGTTCAGTGTACCTACCATGAGTTTACGTTAGGTGTGCTCGCTAGCGAGTACGTCAAAAATCTCTATGAAGATTTTGTTTCTTGAAAGTAGCCACTAGGGGCGCTGCACAATATGTCATACAATTAAATGTCATTTTTTACGCAGTCGCTAGCGAGCACACCTAACGTAAACTCACTGAAATGCAAACAAACGATGCAACTAAAAACGTTAGAAATTCCACACCGGATATCTGTATAGCGCATAAAAACACACATGAATAAAATAACAGATCGCAATCCATTCCCGTCGTTTTATGTCCCGTGGCACAAAAACTATGGCAATAAAAATTGTTCAATGCTCATATTTTATCGGGACGAGCGGCGGTCGTGGACGCCGGCGCCTGGGCAGGCCGGGCCCAGGGCAATCTAGGGTCAATAATGCAAGCCTAGGGTCATATGCAGATACGCGAACGCTCAAGAAAGACTCAGTGACTTGTTTGTGCTTAAAAACATTATTTAATGAAGCACCTATTACAGCTCTAAATATAAGATGAAAAAGATAGTTATTACAGAATTTAGTTTGATGTGCTGGATCATTGTAGGTACATAAGTCCAACATAGAATTGACAGAAAGGATTGCAAGACTAGGTACGTCTTAATTCTACTTCCTACTAATATTATAAATGCGCAAGTTTGTATGGATGTCTGGATGTTTGTTACTCTTTCACGCAAAAACTACTGAAGGGATTTTAATGAAACAACAGTATTATTGTTTATAACTATAATTTATGCCGATCTGTGACAAACTTATTTTCACGCGAGTGAAGCCGCGGGCAAAAGTTAGTAAGACTTAAAGAATGAACTACTTATCTGAAATAGGTTTACTGAAATTACTAGGGCACAGAAAGATTACTTATAGTGTCAATTTGTCAAGTAAGGTTTGTAGCATTGCCAAAACCTATTCCGCGCCAATAATAGACCACTACAATACGATCTTTTTTCAAGCAATAATAGGGCGCCCCTGCCACCCCCTGACTTCAGCCCTGTCCCCAATTCTTTTGAAGTGCGGAATCGTTAAAGCCGGCATCGGTCACAATCAAATGTAAATACAGGACAGGAATGCATTTTACTACCGGCTCTCCGTCCCCACACATCGACAACCCGTGTTATGTCCCAGTGGACCAAGAATCAGTGGGCCCACATAACGCGAATTCGGTCACGCACACAGATGTATTGGTGACGTAAAATAAATCGTAAATGACGTTTATTTTCCACCCCAGATCCCCCCTATCGCAGCTTTGGGACGTTTGTGTTATCTAATGCAGAATAGAAACATCACTCTTTTTCCCGGAAGCTGAATTTTAGGTATTGAGTCTTCGGATTTGGGTCTTGGTTTTTTTTTGACATTTCAATTCAAATAATTTTATTTGAAATTTAAATGGTTAAAGGGAGAATTTTCTAACTGAAGTCCCATTGTTTTAGAATCTTTTAATCAATAAACATGCTACATTTGATTTAAACTTTGAATGTGATCGGTAGGTACCGCGATAACTGAGAGCAAATCGATGACTGATTGGCATCTGTACGAGTATAATGGCTCTACCCTCGACTATCTGAAGGGCTCCTGAACTCTTGATAGAGATCGACCCAGAGATTTATCTCGCGATGCTGTAAGTTACGCATTACTTTATTATTACAAAATCTGCTTTTTATTTGCAATATTTGGCCCTCATTGTTGACCCGAAGCAATGGTAGAGTTAAATACCTATCTAAATAAGCCATGTATAGAGCTTTTGGCATAAGCTGAAATTCACACACACCACGGATTATTTTACTACTATCTTTACATATTACGGGTATTTCTAGTAAAGTATGTACCTAACTGTGCATATAGTCCAGTCAATGAATGCCTTAACGACGGTGTAGAGAGAAATCCGTGGAACACAATTTCTGACCTCGGGACTTTATTTAGCCTAGTTAGGTGGTGAACATAGCAAAAGTCCCCGCCCTTAGCCCTTGAGCCGGCGGGGAGAGGGGGGTTTAAAGGTACCACTTTTCGGTTTTTCGCTTAATCCTCGGAAACTATGCGTCCTAGTGACATGACTACTATGAACCAAAAAAAGCTTATTCAATTTGCTACAGGTGAGACCGTCAAGTTTTTCTATATCTTGTATAGTTTTTGCGGCATCTGCTCTAGAAGGTCTGTAAAATTGGAAATTTTATTGTTGTCTTACATGTTCCTTTCAGGAGAAAATCGACTAAATCAACATTGAGCAAACACTATAGACATGCGGGAGCATGTTAAGCCTAGTTCCATGGAGGGGACTGCACCGTGCGTATATTTAGACGAACCAATTAGAGCCACTTTTGACTCCTCATCATTCAAAAACTACTGTGCATTAACACTTCAAATTTGGCTCATGTATTGAGACTTGCAAGATATACATCAGCTTCAAATTTCATAAATATACCTCAAACGGTTATTTAGGTATTGACGTTCAAAAATCGATATTTAGAGCACTACTATCTATCTATCACATGTGAAATGTTAAAATTTACTGGTTTTTTATTTGTTCCTTTGTATTTACATAACTACCTTTCTGGATGCCAAATTTGAACCTTCGAGGTCATCTGGAAGTGGTTAGAATTTGGTCTATAGGTCAGACATGTAGATTTTTGGACGTCAATATCTAAAGAACCGTTTGAGGCATATTTATGAAATTTGAAACTGATGTATATCTTGCAAGTCTCAACACATGAGCCAAATTTGAAGTGTTAATGCACAGTAGTTTTTGAGTGATGAGGAGTCAAAAGTGGCTCAAAGTGATTCGTCTAAATATACGCACGGTGTAGTCCCCTCGCTGGAACTAGGCTTAACATGCTCCCGCATGTCTATAGTGTTTGCTCAATGTTGATTTAGTCGATTTTCTCCTGATGGGAACATGTAAGACAAAAATAAAATTTCCAATATTACAGACCTTCTAGAGCAGATGCCGCGAAAACTATACAATTTATAGAAAAACTTGTCTTTCTAATCTTTAGCAAATTGAATAAGCTTTTTTTGGTTCATAGTAGTCATGTCACTAGGACGCATAGTTTCCGAGGATTAAGCCCAAAACCGAAAAGTGGCACCTTTAACTCCTCGCCGGCTCAAGGGCTAAGGGCGGGGACTTTTGCTATGTTCACCTCCTAACTAGTCTAAATAAAGTCCTGAAGTCAGAAATTGTGTTCTACAGTTTTCCATCTATAATGCTTTATTGACTGGACTAATAATTATTTTAATAAAAACCCAACTCTATTAATTAATATTTTATTTGGAAAATAGATAAAGTTAAAATATTAGGTATACCTACACCTACTACATATTTAGGACAAATATTTACAAATAAAAAATGTGTCCCAAATCGCTGTCCAAGCAACGCGACATGGTGCCCAGAATGCTGGCTGCATTTCCGCGCTGAATGGCCAAACTGATTCTTTGGCCAAGAAATGCGCCAGCTCTTCTATCACCTGTACAGTCAATCAGCCGCTTGGCTAATTCCCTGTACAGACGATGAGCACTTGGTCCCCACGGACCTAGCGTCTCGACCCCAGATGGCTCAAACATGTAGGTATACTACTAAGACCTACCTACATATTTGCGCTTCTTGAGGGATTCCGCTGATGCAGCAGCAGTACCAGCCCATTATTACAGATAGTTAATCACGTAGTTCCTTAAAGCAATGCAACATATTATTACATAGTGCTTTACATTATGTGCCAACTGAACATATAAGTAACATAATAGTTGTTTATCAGTGGCATCGACTCCGAGCCAATGCACGTTTTATTACGTGTTACTTTATTATGAAAAATCTGTGCAACGGCAACAATACGAGGAAAACGCTATTCCTTTGAAATACTGATTGGATGAGGTGAAATCCTTTTCCAAGAATGTGGGTAATACAGTTGGTAACACATAGATTTATACAATTTTGTTGCAAAATAACACATTATTTACTTAGGTATTACGATTACTGTAGCATTTCAGATACCAAAGGTTTCCTTGATTATGCCGTCGGCCCGTCAAAATAAATTATCTACCTAATTACGTGGGTAATTTCAGTAGGTTTTGTGTTACCTACTTGACGAGATATTTTGAAATTGAACTCTTTCTCTCTAAAAAGGACTATCAGATCACGAAGCGATCGGGGAAATAAGTAGGTAGTTTAGAATCGTCTTCCTGTTTAGTCATAGTCATAGTCATAGTCATTTATTCCATAAACAATAACATTATCGTTATTAGACTAGATAACCTACTTTCAGGAAGTGAAGTTGAATCAAAACACGCGTAGCGGCGCATTATTTGTGCGTATCCCGCTCCCTTGCGGAGTTGCGGCAATAAAAACATATTTTCGCGGGCCGAGTTATGTTAGTTTCGCAATAAGCGAGATTTATCGCGCTGTTTGCGAGTCGCGCGCGTGTCGCGTCGCGCGTGACGCGCCCGCGACATGGCCTAGGGATGTTAGGGAAGCCTACCCTACAACCCTGGCATTGAATCGAAGTGATTCAAAGCTCTTTAATTGAAATGTTCAGTTCATTACAAGTAATAGTTTTTAGATTTTTAGCTTGCAAAATATAAAACTTACTTACTTCTAAGTTCTATTAATGTTGCACCTGTGACCACACATTAACTGATAAAACCTAAAAAGTTAGAATGCTTTTTCTATACCTACTACCTATTATGTACATTATTATTTACGGTATTATTGGTAGTTATTTAGGTAATTACTTATTTAAATTTGAAGAATATGGAACTATAAGCGTGTCATATTAAGGCAGGATACTCGCGATGGGCATGCTTGTCTTTTTTATTAGTTATAGTGAGTGAAGACCACACAAGAACTACGTTTTACCATTTTCATTGCTATTTAATTGACTTTCAGCTATCTTCCTTTGAACTTCCTGAGAGCTTTTCTAATCTCAGTAGAATTATCATACATTTTCTTATCAAATGTTGGTGCCTACATCTTCCTATTATAGTATTATCTGACCCCGCGTTCTACTAGGTACTCATCCCATCACTACTCGTAGACAATGTCTTTTGTTGCTTCCCCAGAACTATGTCCTTGTGAGATTCTTTTTATTATGCCCTATAAAACATCCTCTGCATGGGCTTTCTCATCGGTCGCGATATTTGTTATCCTTCATGGGCTGTAATATCAGCGGTATTGACGCGACGGACCGCTTACTTATTTATTGGTTTGTGAACTGTGTGACAAGCTTTATTTGCCGATCGAGAGTCGGGCTTATTGTGAATCTTTGGAAGATGCCGCAATATAATACTTAAGTTCGGGTGAAACCCTTTGCTACCCTACGTGACTCTGCTCCCACGCACAGCTACAGTTACCAAGCTTTGATATTGATACAATCAATAAGTAGGTACCTAGTTACCAACGTGATATAAGGGAATAAATATCTACCTATCTGTGAACTTATTTGAATGTGCTAGAATGGCATTGGTTGAACTTGTTTATTTTAAGATCATTTCACTTAACCCTTCATNGCCGTGCCCCCAGATTTATCGCGCTGTTTGCGAGTCGCGCGCGTGTCGCGTCGCGCGTGACGCGCCCGCGACATGGCCTAGGGATGTTAGGGAAGCCTACCCTACAACCCTGGCATTGAATCGAAGTGATTCAAAGCTCTGTAATTGAAATGTTCAGTTCATGACAAGTAATAGTTTTTTCTTTAGCTTGCAAAATATAAAACCTAAACTTCTAAGTTCTATTAATGTTGCACTTGTGACCTTTTACTACCAGATTGCTAGTTATTTCATTAATTATTTAATTTAAAGTAATATGGAACTATGGAACCCTGTGCGTGTCGGGATACTCGCGATGGGCATGCTTGACTTTTTTATTATTTCTTATAGTGAGTGGTGGTGACCACACGAGAACTACTTTTTACCATTTTCATATGCTGTATTAATTGACTTTCAGCTATCATCGTTCTTTTGAACTTTCTGAGAGGAAATAATACGGAAGCTTTTCTAATCTCAGTAGATTATTATGAATTTTCTTATCAAATGTTGGTGCCTACATCTTCCTATTATAAAATTATCTGACAGGCGGCAGGCCACACCCCGCGTATCCCATCACTACTTACTCGTAGACAATGTCTTTTGTTACTTCCCCAGAACTATGTCCTTGTGAGATTCTTTTTATTATGCCCTATAAAACATCCTCTGCATGGGCTTTCTCATCGGTCGCGATATTTGTTATCCTTCAAGGGCTGTAATATCAACGGTATTGACGCGACGGACCGCTTATTTATTGGTTTGTGAACTGTGTGACAAGCGTTATTGGCCGATCGAGAATCGGGCTTATTGTGAATCTTTTTTGAAAATGCCGCAATACCTATAATACTTAAGTTCGGGTGAAACCCTTTGCTACCCTACGTGACTCTGCTCCCACGCACAGCTACAGTTACCAAGCTTTGATATTGATACAATCGATATCTACCTATCTGTGAACTTGATTGAATGTGTTAGATTCCCTGGCATTGGTTGAACTGGTTTATTTTAGGATCATAGGATACCAAACAAAATTATTAAAATTAATTTGATTAATTTTAACAGGTTATAACGCGATAGGCGGTTAGGTTAATGAAATAAATTACCTGTATTTGCCGGACGTTTTGTGTAAAAACGCGAAAGTTTAAAATATTTTTAAAATTACTAGCCGTGTGGTGACGGCAGAGTAGAATACATTTGTCACCAACCCCTACTCTTCCCGCGGGTGTCGTAAGAGGCGACTTAGGGACTACACATCAAACAGAGAATGGGCAGCAGCGCTCTCTGAAAAACATCAATCCTTTAAACTGCGATCTCCAACCCGCCTGCCAAGCGTGGAGATTATGGCAAAACCCCCCAAAAAAGGGCTGTTGATGATGATGATTGATGATTTTTAAAATTAAGTTTGCAACTTGTTATGATTGACTAATTACTACTGACGCAGCCTTAAGTACCTACCTATACAACCTTAAAATGTTATTTATACCTTCCTGAGTGTTGACTCGAAACCAACGGACGGAAAAATTGCACATGCAATGACCAATACCTACCAGAGGCAGTAAACAGGCCCAACGTAACCTTTGTTTACTCGAAAAATCCAAATAAGTACTTTTCTGATAAATTCTTAGAAGTGTCGCCTGGGATTCGAACCCAGCATCCTATCAATGTCGAACGTAGCTACTTACGATCAATGTCGAACGTACTTTATTGAGTAACTATTACTTATCTAGTATCAAATTAAACCTGACTGACTAACCTTCACCAGTTCCCTCTCGATCTGAGCAGCCCGGTCCACTATGGGCCCTCGCACCGCGTACCGCACATTCAGCAAATTTTGGTTGATGTTTTCAGAAGTGATGGTGTTTTCCAGCTTCATTGTGATGACAAATTAAAACAACTGCGCGATAAATCAAAGTTCGGAATCTTGAGTTACTTAAGTAACTGCTTATCGATGCAGAAACCGATCGACACGGTATGCAGTGCGCGCGCGCCTATTGATATGCGTTCCCAAACAGGCTGCGGTTAGTTTTTATTTCGCTGCAACTTAGTGACGTCGCTTGTGACCGTTGTCCCGATTTTTATCAATATCTTTTCATACTGGGACAGTGACAGGGAAATAACTTGACTTTGGTAACAAAAAACGTGACACAAGTTCAAAAACGTAAAGAATTGTAATTATAGTAGGTAGGCACCTTAATATGTTTATATTTTTTAAAACATGGTTTTCTATAAAAAAGAACGGTCACGCCCCATACAAAAAAAACCCAGACCCGACAGAAACGAGACATACCTCAGTTTTTTTGTCATGTCTTAATTAGTTAAATTATATATTTTTTATATTCGAAATCTATGTATAACACCAAAATATTACCCTTTGTTTTTGTTTAGGCGTTATACAAAAACTAATACAAAATGCTTATTTATCACCAAAATCGGTAAATGTATGATCTAAATGTCTATTATAGCTGCTATGGAATGTATTTAGGTGACCTGGAGATACAGCCGGATTATACAGGGTGGTTATACATATGGAACGATAAGTGATCTCACTCGATTATTTCTAAACTATACAAGATATCGAAAAACTAGTTACTGATTCTGAAAGTGCTTCACGAGCTCTTTCAAATGGTACCATTAATAGGGTACAGATTATGGAAGCTGGTAACATAGAATTTTTGGATTTTGTAACTTATTATTTTTTCCACCCTGTATAATCCGGCTATATCTCCAGGTCACCTAGATACATTCCATAGCAGCTGTAATAGACATTTAGGTACATACATTTACCAATTTTGGTGATAAATAGGCATTTTGTATTCGTTTTTGTATAACGCCTAAACAAAAACAAAGGGTAATATTTTGGTGTTATACATAGATTTCGAAAATAAAAAATATATAATTTAACTTATTAAGACATGACAAAAAAACTGAGGTATGTGTCGTTTCTGTCGGGCCTGGGTCACAGATGACCGTTCTTCTTTATATTTATCTAATAAACTTATTTAAATAAGCATGAGACAAGTAGGATAATATACGTACGTACGTACCTAGATCATTTTTATTAAAAAAAAAATTAGTTTGAAATTAATTAAGTAAAAAAACTGTAAAAGTTCAACGTAAATTTAAATATCCATAAATCATGACTTCTTACGATTAACTTATAATGAACTCGTAAGAAGATCACCATAGCCCTATATCCTGATTAATGCAAGTCATAAGTTAAATAAAATTAATTGTCCCGTTCCAAAAATTGTCCCAACATTTGATAACCGCCATCATTCCTACCACATCTTTGGTATTGTTTACATCTGATCAGGGTAGGGGGATATACCCTCGCGATCGATATTTTTCCTGCCGATAGCGCGGGTCAAAGATGTCTGCCAATACTTGCAGACAATTTGCGCCTAAGATAGTACCTACCTACTTGTTAGTGTACTCACGTTTAGTATAATTAAGATAGTGAATCCCCTAAGTCACAGCACCGAAATTGTAAGATGATTGATGCATCGAATTTCCTGGTATAATCTACGGTCGTAGGTACATTACTTTTTCAGTCTGTGATTTTGGCTAAGTAGGTACCTACGTACGTATTTCTAATGAGTATTTTTCCTGTTGTCAAAGTGAAAACATTGTCTTTAGACAATAAGGGTCCGGTTTCCACCAAGGGAGTGTAGCCGAGCGGAGAAGTTTTTTTTAATGCATTACAAGGCAGGAAGGTATTTGACCGCAATCGCATCTGATGTTATATGGGATGCAGGATGAAGTGTTTTGAATAACCAATCAGATTTATTTTTATTTCTCCTCTCCGCTCCGCACTTCTCCGCTATGCTCCGCTCCGCTCCGCCATGGTGGAAACCCGGCATAGTACATTTTATACTATAAGTGGCAGTTTAACCTTAAGCTTTTTGATGAAGATTTCAGTAATAAAATTCTAATTACTTAATGCTCTTTAGTACATCATCAATGCATACAGTTGCAGTGCGCCACGCAACAGCTACGCCAATACTGATGTTGTTCAAGGTATTTTTTAAACTTTTTTATTACATCATCGGAAAAAACAAAACAACATCTGAATCATTATTATTGAATTACCATCTAATAAAACAGTTCCAAGTAAGCGAAAGTAAACAGATATTGCTAAAGTTATTTGCAGTTGCAATAAAGGGAATGAGGAGTATCCCTTAATATTTAAAATTACTTAAACAATATTATTCATTAAAATTCATTTTATTTTTGCAAGTTTTTAAAAGGATTTTTTTTTACACGTCCCAGTATCCCCCTACCCCTATCACAGCTTCGGGACAATAAATGGGTCATTGCTGAGAAGAAGCAGCGGCCAGCGCAACAAACTCAGTCATTAATAAATTAAAAAGGGGCTGACAATAATATTGTCATCCTCTTTTACAATTTATTAATTTTATAATCAACAATCTACACCTACTATCTATCTATACTAATAATATAAATGCGAAAGTAACTCTGTCTGTCTTGCTTTCACGCCTAAACCACTGAACCGATTTTGATGAAATTTGGCATAGAGATAGTTTAAGTCCCGGGAAAGGACATAGAATTTTATCCCGATATTTGAAACAGGGACACGCGCGTTAGTTTTTCTGTGACAGACAAAATTCCACGCGAGCGAAGCCGCGGGCGGAAAGCTACTTAATTATAAAGGTAGGTATATGAACACGTGGCATTCATGGCATTGCTTGTCAACATTGGTTATTCGAAATGACGAAACAGAAGTAGGTAGGTACCTACAACCTATCAAGTAAGCCCTTTAAGTGACAAGTTATAGTTACGCAATATGAAAATAAAAATAGAAAGTGGATTTTCTGCATCGNCCCCTAATCCCACCCCTGGAGCTGCTTCAAGTGAGGGTAGCCCCCCCCCCCCCTGAAAACAACCCCAGATACGCCAATGACTCATAATAAAAAGTAAGTAATTAATTAATTTCTTAGGTAGGTAAGTATTAAAAACTAAAAAATATGTCGATGTCTTTGATGGTATGTGTCATAAAAGTACCTAACACTATACATTTATACATCACGAACTTGGAAAAAAGTAACAATAATACGGTTTCTTGTTTCGTGATACTGATTATTCCAAATTCCCCAAGTAAAATTCATGGATTATTGTCAAATTGTGTCAATTAACTATTATCTATCTCATATACAATACAAATAAACAAATATAAATAAAACATATCGAGATAAAACCAAAATTACGTTGGTAGTACTTACGCTAATTTCTCTTAAAATAGGTCATTTATGTGAACTTCAAACTCGTGTCATATAGATTCTAGTGAACGAAACATATACCGAATTTAGGTCATGAGAAACTTAAATAATTGTATTATTTGTTTCGTAACTTACATTTAAATTATCATAAATAATTATTTAAAAACCAAGCATCAAAATGTTATCCATAATATCCTTGATTCGGTAGTGTCACGAAATAGGGGACACCCGAGAAAAAATATGTACGCTATTTCGTGAGTCAATTAATCGCAATTTTAAAGGAATTCTACGTTTTCTTATAACTTTTTTCTTAGCCAAATCAATTGTCAAGGAACAGATGAAACCACTATTATAAGTTTTATTCAAATGGACGTTCCTTTGCCTTTCTATAAGCTTAAGAAGTTGGAGCGCTAACCTTACGGTGAGAGCAACCTTTTCACGCCGCACGGCTGATTTTGGCTCTCTGAGAGTTTGAAGCTTCGTATTGCTCTCATTTTTGGCGCCACAATGTTGGTACTTGGTTTTTTAGATAGCTTAAAGTATAGAGTATTTGTAGTGATGAAGATTTTTTATAAATAATATTCCATTTGCTTATTATTTGAGCTAGAAAAAAAACTTACGAACTTACGTACTATCACGAACTAGTAGCCGTTTACCTTAATCGTTTTTGAAGAAAATACTAGAATTTTATGAAAACAAGCTAGGTAGATTACTTACCTAGCTTGACCCCGGGTTGGTGACCCGGCTAACTGCCAAGGTTAGTAGTAGTGCTATTATAAATTTTCCCCCACAGGGTTATTATCCCTTCTGACCCACCGCACTACTAAACCACACTACCAGTAGTGTCGTGGGGAATATTTTTTCCCTTCTACACTACCAAGCCAGTAGTGTCGTGGGTAATTTTTAATGGCCTTACATCTTCATTCCCATCGACACTACTACCATAACTAAATGTAAAATTTGTAAAATTTTGGATTGTTTTGTATTAAATTACGTCTATATGCAACCCTAACCTCTGTGCAATTTTGCAGTTTGACGGAATTTACTGAAAATAAAATGTTACCTAAAAGGGCTTATACATGTTACGGTAAATGTACAAGTAAAGCGTTTTCAAATGATACCAAACACGGCATATTTATCTTAACTTTATTTTTTTACTCTGTATGGTTTGTCCGCTAGAGGGCGCCACATTAGATTTTGTGAAACCCCATATAGCCTATAACCAGCGGACAATTAAGACGCTTCTATTGATATGTCATTTGTCGAATTCTGATAAGTAGTTTAGAAGTTACGAGGGAACAGATGAACATACATACAATTACATAGCCTGTCAAAATCATAACCCTCCTTTTGCTTTGCCGTAGTCGGGTAAAAATAATTAAATTTTTGTTTTTCTTTCATGCAATGTTATATAGGTATACCTAAGCCTTTTTAGGTAATATTTTATTTTCAGTAAATTCCGTCAAACTGCAAATTTGTACAGAGGTTAGGGTTGCATATAAACATAATTTATTACAAAACCATCCAAAATTTTACAAATTTTACATTTAGTTATGGTAGTAGTGTCGATGGGAATGAAGATGTATGATACCCACGACACTACTGGCTTGGTAGTGCAGAAGGGAAAAAATATTCCCCACGACACTACTGGTAGTGTGGTTTGGTAGTGCGGTGGGTCAGAAGGGCTTATCCCTATCCGTTCATTTACAGCCAAATGACATCCACTTCATTTAATTTAAAAAACCATCAATAATAAATCATTTTCCATGTGATTTTTCCGTAAAATTTTTCGATATTTATAGTTATGCTGCTATTCAGGGTAGACGAGTATAACGAATCGGAGATCATTAGAATCGGTCCAGCCAGTTCTAAAGTTATTCTGATTTGGTAAGAGATACGAACAAAATTGATATTTTTCATCTTTAATCTTTATGAATTTTCATTGCTTCTTTTCGAACAATCGGGTTGATACAACACAGATAAATTTTATTGGGAACAAATATTGTTTTATACAAAATAAAAGTCCAGAATCCTTGAATACTCACTTTATTTAATCAATAACAATGCTTAACAACGCTTCTAATCTCTGCGGTCGAGGAATGTTCGAGCCTTCGCTTGCTTACACTTGCACGCTCTATACAAACAATAAGTAATAAATACTTATAAAATAATTCAACCTGAGCTTGGTAGCACCTTTCAAACGATATTCACGTGCAAGTCAATATCCCTGCGACTTAAATTACACAATTTAAAATGATAAATTAGTGAAGAAAAAAATACAAAATAAATGTGTCGCAAATGACTGAGTTTTGGAAAATAAGTAAATGTTTATTCTCCTAAATATGGCAGATTCAGAGAAACTACGAAGCGTATAAAGTTTCCGATAATATATTTATATAATAATATCATTATTGTCACATTTGTGAACAACTTTAAATGTGAGAGGCAGTTGGTAATACTAAAAATGCCAAACTTATAAAAACTTACACAAAATACATCACCACAACACGACTCAAGAATGGTGAAACACATTTTGGATAAACAATAACGAATTGTGCAAATAATGGCACAGCCAAGACTAGAAACCAATCAAGATTTCATCAATTTTATAACATAATATACAAAATAATAACATACAATTTACAAATAATATCTCTGGATTTACAAAATCTTGTAATTATTTTTGGACTCCGATAAATTCAAACAAAAACTTCAATGAAGACTTAAAAATAATTACGAAAACTACTCAATTTATATATCGTAATCAAATCACTGCGTTACTCTTGCCTCTAATATTTTCTCAACTAGATGACATTATTTTATGTAGTTACAACTACTTTAATCAATACTCTATAAACTCCTACATACAAGTCGATTTAGCCAAATTTTTCAAGATGTTCTTGCAAATACATTTTCTTGCTCTTGGATTGCGTTTATTTATTTGTTAGTGCACACGTGTCCTTAAATTATGGTTTTAATGCCCTTTTTCTATCAAGCAGATAAACTAAACGGTATTACGACTTCAGCTTGTAGTAAACTAAGTTGTCTTTTTAGTGTTATTTTTAATACTTTTGCTATTTTTTTATGTTATTGTAGTAACTATCGACTGAAAGAGTGTGCCTCTCATATTACAGGTTTTCCTTAAAACCTTTAAAAGAGATGCCAGTCCCTGTAATAATTACCTACCTACATGATAACTATTTAATTAATGAGTAGTTTTAACACACTAATTATTTTATACCAACTACATAGTAACACTGGGGTCAAATTCAAATTATTTATTGCATTGGGTCCTCTGTGCATAGCCTTGATAACACTGGTAAGTCATTTCGATGGACACCCGCTGTTTTAAACATTTAGAGCAAACATAAGTAGAGCATTTACAAGTGTAAAATACCTAAATAGGTTATTTATAATAAAAATAAGTAGTAATATCGCACCGCTTAGCATTGGTCGATTGAAGAATTTAGATTAGATCATCCTTTATTTCTTCCCAAAAATTACTAAGATTACTTCATTCAAAAACGTATTATTTTCTAATGTTGTTTATTTATTTTAATCCCCTTGTTTGTAACTGTTACACTATTTAAAATTAATTGACATTGTCTGTCACATTTAACACTTTCGTTTGGACAGAGATTCCGTCTTTTGAAAACCAAATGAAATAATTGGGAACAGCAGGTCCTACTCTGAAACGTTTTCGGGTTTATCTGTCACCGTCACTCATGCTGGCGTCTCATTCTGCGTGAGAGGGATGGAAACATTTAAAACATCGGATAACGTTCTTCGGAGTATCCCTGCAGTTCCATAGCCGTGTTAAGTTAGTTCCAATAAAACAGCGGGATTTCTCGTAACAAACATAGTACGGGCATATAGATGTAGTTCGCAGCGTTACCGCACGTGTGTTCCTTGATCCAGCCGGGCTAGGATGCGCCCCGTGACAATCTTACCGATTAGATCAGTGTTCCGCAAACGGTGTACCGTGGTCATTAGATGGTGTGCCTCAGAAAAATAAGGTTATCTTACAAACTTATTTTTAGTGAGTAATTAAGGGCGTGCAGCGATGGCGATTAATGCATAAGTCTGGTCGCCAGCGCTGCACACCAGCTGATCACTTGTGATCGCGTTGGTTTGGCCGAACCTTAATAAAGGTAACCTTAATAAACTCCAAAAAATTTAGTTTTCTAAAGACTGGACCGTGAGCACGTAGAATTTTGTGCAATGACCCTGATGCAATGTTGCTGTCGCGACTGTGCGACGGGCAGTCGCAGTGAGTGTGCGAGCGCGACAGCAACATAATTACGCGCGAGCGATAAGGATGGGTAGCTTGGGGTCATTGGACAAAATTCTATGTGCCAGGCTTTAGATGTACCTTAAACGCAAAAAGTTTGCGGAACACTGTATTAGTCGACAAACGTACGGATATATCGCGTAAAATCGATAACACAGCGCGATAAAAGCTCATCGCGGCATCCTAGGCTACCGGTGGTGGTGTTGGGTGGTGGTCTACTTGGAGTACTCGGCGGTGAACTTCTTGTGGAAGGCCTGGAACACGTCGAGCATTTCTTGCAGCAGCGCGGGCTGCGGCAGGATGGTGGTGCGGAAGTGGTACGTGCCAGGCCGCTGCCCGAAGCCGCTGCCCGGCACAACGCAGATGCCTGGCGACAAGCATTATTATTTATTAGTATTATTTATCAAGTGGCAGTGGGCGGGGCACATAGCTCGTAGAGACGATGGCCGTTGGGGCAGGAAAGTTCTCGAGTGGCGACCGCGGGCTGGAAGACGTAGCGTGGGCAGGCCTCCTACTAGGTGGACCGACGATCTGGTAAAAGTCGCGGGAAGAGCCTGGATACGGGCAGCTCAGGACCGTTCATTGTGGAAAACCTTGGGGGAGGCCTTTGTCCAGCAGTGGACGTCATTTGGCTGAAAAGAAGAAGAAGAAGTAAGGCTTCAATCTAAATATATAAAAGGAAAAACTGACTGACTGACTGACATATCAACGCACAGCCTAAACGGCTAAACGTAGGCACTTGAAATTTTGAAGGGACGTAGCTTAGGTACCGTACAGGTGCACTAAGAAAGGAATTCCCGATATTCCCACGGGAACGGGAATTAGCGGGAAAAAAACATTTGTTTGAAAAAATCTAAACCGCGTAAGATAGATGAAGGGGGTAAAACGGGATCCACGCGCACGAAGTCGCGGGCGGCCGCTAGTGGTAAATAATGAGTTCAAATGCTAGGGCCACACTAATGGCTAAAGTCGATGCCCATTATCGCGATAATAGGCTATATGACTAAATTTCAATTATTTGTCCGTCTTTTTTTCGGCGGTAGTCGGCAAACACGTACACATCAGCTCCCCAGAAAAACTATTTTAAAAATAGTAAAAAGGATATTTTCTTCACAAATTCCACCAATAAATACTCATTTTTACTCAAAAGTGACGTCACGCGACATTTCAACTCAATAATACTGTAATTATTCGATCATGGAAAAAATAAAAAATATGAGTCTTATTTGATATTATCTGACGGACTAAATAGAATTTCGATTTCATTACCCAGTCATCATCCCTATTATCACGTCAAATCATGGCTAGACCTACGGTTAACCTGCATTGTCAATAATTTATGGCATTTCCCGTGATTGTGGCCGGAACATAAGAAATAGCGTAAGGTTGTGAACTGACCGGTCTCCTCGAGCAGCTTGAAGGCGTAGTAGACGTCGGGCGCCTTGCCCGCCTTCTTGGCCGCCTCCACCGCGCGCGCCGGCAGCTGGAATTGCGGGAACGCGTACATGGCGCCCTGCGGAACGTAACGCTTGCTTTTCAATCATAATAGTAATCAAAAACAATCCCTAGCTGTTCCCGAAGGATGGAGGACGCTTGCAAATCACGTGGTGGACAATCGTTTCAAAGGAGCAGAGATTAATGATCAAACAACTCGTCTTGGCGTCTTAGAACGAGGAAAGCTGACGCAAAATTACCCCTTCCTCTGCTTTTAGACAATTAATGGGCCAGTGCTGAGAAGTAGCGCGAGAAATTCAGTCACATTTTTGCATTTGTTTTTGGTTCAAACACGCCCTTATCCCATATATGCCCAAAATTATTTAAATCTCAGATTTTTATGTAATTTGGCATATTTACAGTTTATTTTATAGAACTTGTACCATTTAATCGTTTTCGTGCCTCTGGGCATATATGGGTTATGAACTTCAAGACTACTTTAATGCTTTATTAATCTGACGCGCGATTTGCATGTCAAATGAGTCCAACATACCGCTCATCACAGGTCCTATAGTCGACAGAGATCAAGCTAAAAATCAGCTATCTTATGCCGACACCTTAAAGACTAGAACGCATGCACCGACCTGCACGACCTGGCAAGAGAAGCCTTCCATCTTGTTGAAGGTATCTGCGATCATCTTGGCGCGCTTGTTCAGCGAGTCCAGTACCGCTGTCTTCTCCTTCAGCCACAAGTCGTACGACGGCTCGCCTTGCTGCGGCGGCTTAGCCTGGAAAAGACAAACAAGATTCATTATTTACTGAAAAATTGTTCATTAAACTGTTTCCTGGATGCGGAATATAGCTTTTAGAGCTGATGGCCATTTGGGCAAAAGTTTTTGAGAGCCACCATGAACTGGAAAACGTCGTGTGGCTGGTCACACGCTGTCTACTCACTGAGTGACGATTTAATGATCGGGAAACATCCAGGGGGCAGCGTAGTAACGGACGTTGTGGAAATCCTTTTTTCAGCAATGAACGTCCATTGGCTGAAACGAACGAATGAACTATTACCCATATGTTTGCGATCTGGAGGGACCGCTCCAACAGGTTTAGGCGCAAAATGTCAAATCCATAAAAATCCTCCAACAATATAGCCCGTGTAGCCATTGCTGACTGACACGAGCGACATGCCACGTGGTACGCGACATAGCCAGTGCGCAACGTGGCACATGGCAATCTCATGTCGCGTGGAAGCCTCGTACCAAGTGGCATTTTCATGGTAAGTGGCAGCCTTGTGACACGTGGTAGCCTCGTGACACGTGGAAACCTCGTGATCAGTGGCAGCCTTATGACATGTGGCTGCCTCGTGACAGGTGGAAACCTCGTGCCATTGGCATTCTCGTGGCACGTGGAAACCTCGTACCATGTGACAATTTCGTTGTCAGTGGGCATCCTTGTGACATGTGGCTGCCTCGTGGCACCTGGAAACCTCGTGCCATGTGGCATTCTCGTAGCACGTAGAGACCTCGTACCATTGGCATTCTTGTGGCACGTATAAACCTCGTACCATGTGGCTGCCTTGTGACACGTGGCAGCCTTGTGTCACGTGGCAGCCTCGTGGCACGTGGCACGTGACACTCACCACACAATCGACGGTGGTCTGCCCCAGCGTGGTGGGGCACAGCATGGCAGAGATGGCCTTGTAAAGGTTGGCCTGCACCACGGGCTCCATGTTGACGAGCTCCATCCAGCCGCCGCGCAGGCCGCACTCGCCCACGTAACCCTTGCTGACTGACATGAATGAGGCCAGCTCCACTTCTTTGTCGTAGGGCCCGCCCATCTCTCTCAACACCTGAAATAAACATATGATGATAAATAAAACAGCAAAAAAGGCATGAGAGTGAACGAGACTATTCCCGCCTCTCGTTCCCACCGCTGCATCTCTTTTGTAGCCAGGATCTACAGCTTGACCGCCAATAAAAACCCTGCCAGTGAAAGTCAATTTTGTCCCGGGGAAAGTTAAACTATTATAAGACCCGCAACGAAATTAATCAGAAGAACATAGGAAGAGTTCGAAAGCATGAAAGTTAACATAACAATAATAGAAAGGAGCACAAGTCATTTCAGAGGGCCTAGTGTGAGTTTTCATCAAACGCGCTCACTAGTGAACGCGTCAAAAAATGTCATTAAATGTATGACGGATTGTACAGCGCCCCTAGCGAGAAACGTTCAAAAACTGAAATTTTCATACTCACACTCAGCCCACAATTCATCCGTGATCATAGTGAAAACAACTGCACCGAAATATCAAGTCATGCAAAAAGATGCACAGTAGAAAGCAATCCTACAATCTAAGAAGACATGAGAACTCTTTTAATTCGTAAATTATCTTTATTTGTGACATTTGTCGTCAAATGCTTATAAGCAGCAGCAAAAAATATCTTTATCCGGAGCTTGTCATGCTTCCTTTATGAAAGTTGTCATCTGTAGCTGCCGCTTCCTTCTTTTTTTGGGGTCACATTATGAAACTGACCTTCTTGAAAGAGAAGAACTTGCTTCCCTCCGCGTAGACGTTGTCCTGGTAGACCTCGTCGGCGAAGATGAACAGCTTGTGCTTGTGCGCGAACTTAATGATGGACTCGATGTTCTCGCGCGTCAGCACCTGTAAAGTAAATATCATTTAAATGATATTCATCGTTGCGTGAAGACTATGAGGCTGGTTTTAGTGTCACGCGGACTGTCAGTGCGGATCGCTCCGCACAGCCGATTTGCATGAACTGGTAGGGAGCGGAGAGGTTCCTCCGGACCCCGCATTACTCTAAAACGCTCCCTAGAAGTTCATACAAATTGGCCGCGCGGAGCGGGTCCGCACCGGACGGTCCGCGTGACACTAAAACCAGCCTAATAGTTTTGATTACAGAAGGTTGACCTGACTTTTGTTACGAGTCGTCGCCTCTGGGATATGAGATTTTATTCGCCGCCGCAGGAAATCATCCTCTCAAGGACGCAATTGCATTATTTTTAGATTAATTCACATCAGTCTGGGTTAAAATTTGCGCAATGATAGTCTTATCGACTATTGTAAACGACAAAGGTATGGGCTTATCGTGCAAAATCGATATTATAATGCCTCGATAAAAGTTTATCGTGGCTCGCATCCTAGGCCAGGTGCGCGAATATAAAAATGCTTTATTTTTCATGGCAATCAATAAATCATCGGTAATTAGTGTCGGAAAACATGAAATTTTCCATAAAAGTTAGCAGCCGGGTTTGGCATGGTGCCCTGCGCTGAACCCAAGGTCGAGTGTAGTTCATAAACTATTTTAGAGAAGCCGTAAATCTGAACTAGGCTATAATATTTATGAATAGATATTGGTTTACGCACGAAGTTTTTTTGCATATTTTACCTGTTTTATCTTCATAAATAAACTAGAGATAATAAGGAACTGACATCATACAAAGACGTATGTTTTAATCTACATATTAAAGATGCCACGAACTGGCTCTTTTTTACTTCAAATGGTTTAGTAGGCCGTTAGAACAATAGTTCTATGGCAAATTAATCGAAATACATATTTTACAATTGCATTTCAATCACAACGAGACGTCAGTCAGAATGGGCGGCAACGATAAATATATCCGTAAATTATGGAAACTATGTCACAGAGTAGTCCCGTTGATCGTTTCAGTGATTAATTTAACTATTACTTCAACGTAAACAACGCGATACAGTTCGTATCGCGTTGTTTATTCGAAACATAATTGGACATAGCTTCAACTTCGGACTTTGGTTCCTTTATTGTGGCGTCAGTAAGGTCAAGACACATCCCGATACAGATTTATTATTATAATAAAAGTAATTCAGGTTTTCCTTAGTTAATTAACCCATTAACGCCCAAATGAAAACTACGGTCAATTTCCCATAGCCAATGTTTATTTTCTTTATAAAAATACTTCAGAAATAATACTAAACACAAAGACCAAAATCAAAATCAGAAGTTAGGTTTTCAGGGGTGTACTAAGTTTAGTACAATGGGCGCTTATGAGTCATATTGAGCAAAGCCTTCTTCATCTTGGCACAGTGTTTTCAGGCACTTGCCATAAGCTGTTTTGACTCTATGGAAACACACAGTAATTTCAAGCTATCAAATCAGCTTGTTTGCTGGTTTATTTTGATTATAACCATTATTTCATATTTCTTCTTCATCAACTAGAGCAAGACTACCTACTTTTATTTATCTTTTATAATATGTGCGTACTATATATTTGCGGAATGCTAGCTGATCTAAGCGACTATATGGGTTTACTATGCAGTGCAGTCTGCATGCATTTGAAATTCTCATGTCCACCACATAAGCTAAAAAGACCCATCCACCGCTTTTTTTCCTTTTTCCTCAATTTGGTAAAGTTCTATAGACTAGTCATCTAATCTGATCTTCTTATTATACTAGAGCTGGACACCCTGTGGCGCCTAACTTTACTTTTTTTTTATCAAGAGACCCCATATAATGACCTTTCCCAATGGTTCTAAAGCGTCAACATTTGTTTCAATGGTACGCACATTATTATCTTTCAATCAATGCTAATAAAATTACGTTTGCCTTGTCGAATGTCTCTAGGCTTTTTGTGAAAATCTTTATAAGTAATCAAAGGATACCTTTTGGTTCTCTTTTTACGTGTGGTTCCAAAAACTATGTCTAAGTCTCTTTAGGTCGACAAATAGGTCGTAATTGGGAAAACAAAATGTTTCTTTTTTTGTTGTCTGTAACCCCATAAATAAAGAGCCATGTTATTGGAAAAAGAAAACAATGATTACATATAAAAACTATGAAGAAATAAGTAAACACTCTAATAATGATGTCGTTACTGTACTATTTTACGTAACGTGTCAAGCGCCCATTGTACTAAAGTTTGTACAGCATCACTTTGGGAGTTATAGCATGAAAAACTTTCAATGAAATGAACTTTTCTATGTATTTTTTATTAGGATATGTTGTTAGCTAATACACAAACAACTTATTTGGTATTTTGTGTAACTTAAACCTTGCATAAAAAATTATCAAGTACCCACTAGAAGACATGAAAAAATCACTGAAACGAAATCGAAAAATACCCCCTTAAGATTGTATAATTATGGTCTGTTTCATCTCAGGATATAATGCATAGACCTTTGTTTACCGATTGTAATTATTTCCACGGTAAAAATACTCAATAAACCAGATTTATCGTAACTTAAAGTTGTGTACTATTTATTGTACGGCGGGCGTTAATGGGTTAATGGAAAATAAATACTTAAAAATTGTAGCGTATTGTACTATAAAGAATTACAGGAGATAAGACCGAGTTTAAAGTCTATAGTTCTTTACTCTTAATCATTTGATGATAGCATAGGTGATAGTTATTTCTGCAACCTTATTAGCGAAAACTCGTTGACTGTCAACTGAACTATAAATAAACACGTGCAACTGATCTTAATTGATAAGTCAGCCAGTTAATGAATTGTGGTCAGTGTGGCGAGCGTTGGGTTTCTTGCCTATCAGTATCAACCATGACAAATGGTTTTACTCTTTAACTTTAATAAATGGTAGGTACCATTGATGTAAGATTCATTGATCAAAGAGTAAGAGGGTACGTCATTTAAAATCGTCAACCGTCAAGTTATATTATCAGATACCTACACGATCTTCACTACCTATCTATCTTATTATATCATGCTGGATTTTTTTTTGTGGTCGTTTTCTTTAAAACTGGAAGGTCGTTGATGAGAGGCCTCATAATCTTGTCTGCATTTCTCTCCATGTCTACGTATTATTTCTTACACTTGGGACATGGAATGATGATGGTGCTAAGTTCTCACCTGCCCCGTAGGGTTTCCAGGGTTGATGACCACCAGCGCTCTCACAGCGCAGCGCTTCAAGCACTCTTCTCTAGCGCGCTCCAGCTCGGAGATGTCGAGGCCCCAGTTGGTCTCCTCGTTGAGATATTACCCGCACTGGCACAGCCCATTAAGCCAAGGAGGCAGAGTATACTAGTCATTATAGACGCTCACCTGCCCCGTAGGGTTGCCAGGGTTGATGACCACCAGCGCTCTCACAGCGCAGCGCTTCAAGCACTCTTCTCTAGCGCGCTCCAGCTCGGAGATGTCGAGGCCCCAGTTGGTCTCCTCGTTAAGGTAGTAGCCGCACTGACACAGGCCATACTCCGCTAGGGAAGCCGAGTACAGTGGGTACTGCGGGATCGGGATCATCACACCTGGAAAGACAATTCATTTATTTATCAAGTAAACTCATCTATGTATAAAAGCGAAAGGCCACTGACTCACTCACTCATTATGAAATCTCAGAAACAAGTGCTAGGAGTCTCAAATTTTGCAATGGGGGTTCCTTTTAGAACGTAGGTGCTCACTAAGACGGGATTTTGCAAAATTCAGCCCCAACGATGGTAAAACGGGATCCACGCTTACGAAGTCGCGGGCGGCCGCTAGCAAGTAATAAATAATGGATGGGATTTCAAACTTCACATCCATCCCATTATTCTCGAATGTTTATCATCGTGAAGCTACGTTAGTCATTGTTACTGTACGCTAGATGATGTTGCTAGCATAATAATTTCTAAATTGAAACGCATTCCTAAGTGAACGGGTTACAAATGAAGTTGTTTGAATACTGGATTACTTGATCACATGTAAGATATGAATTCGTCCGTAATTGAATACGAAAACCTTGACACGGCGCTTAACTCCGAAGATTGTCTCCCTGAATTCAGATAAGTGGCTTAAAAAATGTAAAGTACACTTGAATTTATTAGACAAGATCTTCTATTTGCTTTAAAATTATCCAAGGAGTACTCAAGTACCTACTTGCGAGATTCCACTTAATATGTGATAAAGAACCCGTTATCAGGACGCTAATAATGTCGCGCTTGCAACCATCAAACAATAAAACAGTTTACAAACAAACTAGTTACTGTTGTTAGATAGCTAATCAAGATACTGTGGAGCTAACATGAGCGGAATGCATGCTCCATCACTATCACTACATAGTATAAAACAAAGTCGCTTTGCGCTGGTATGCTTTGATCTTTAAAACTACGCAACGGTTTTTTTTAATGCGGTTTTTGTATTGGATAAAGCTATTCAAGAGGAAAGTTTATATGTAGGTAATTAGCACCCATGCCAAGCCGGGGCGGGTCGCTAGTTGAATATAAAACGAATATTCTTACGCTGCTTCTTCTCAGCACTGGCTCATTTATTGTCCCGAAACAGTGGTAGAGTTAAAGTATTACTGGGACATGTAAAAGAGCAAATACATTTTTAATAATTGAGCTCAAAACATTTTTCAAATTACAAAGTAAACCTTGTGAAATTAAGATTTAAGGTCATGTTCTTCTGAATACGACATTATTATTTAACATTACATGCTAGGAAAAACTACATAATGAGCAGTAGGTAACGTCACAATAACGCAAATAGCTGTACTTACGTATGCTTTCTGCATTGTAAAGAATTAAAAAAAACGTGACCTTTTGTTGCCATTGTATTTGCTTTTTCAACTAAGTAAAAAAGGTAAGCAAGTAAAAGCATTTTCTATTCATAATTCTTCCCTATTTCTTGTTTATTGTCTGTAAACGCGTTTTCAGTATTTATTTCATACACTTACGCCCTTTCAAATATACCTAACATCAAAATCAATATTATTTACTCTCTAAAAGCGGACATGGTTTAGAGTATTCAATAAAATTAATATCATTATTGCAATAAAAATGAGTTGCCTCAAAACTCGCCAAAAACCTAGATGAATAATTATTACATGTCCAGTCATTCGCTCACGTGTGACGCGAAAACAGTCTATATTTTCAAGGTTGGACCAACAGGCCAACTGTGTCCATACACAAAGTATATCTTAAGCCGGGTGCTCATTAGCGAGCTCTAACTATAAAGGTATTAACGCATTTCACGTGGTATGCGCGTGCGGCGATTGTTTGAAACCTGAAGAGCCGGGCTTACGTCCTTCAGTGTCATCTCATACAAATGTCTCATGCTTCATGCAAACGTGAATGCTGTACGTAACTGCCAACCAAAAAAAACTGACCAAAAAGCAAAGATAAAATATGCTTGTGATTCGCAGGCAGAACGAGTTGCGTTAAGAGCGACATTTTAAGTCATAACACATAACTTTGGATAAAAATCCAACAGCTTTAATTTTATAAGAATTTTCTCCTTGGCCACTTTTGAAGCAAAACAATTTACTGTCTTAAGATAATAGCAATAGGAAGCAATTTGATTTGCATTTAATCTTTCTTGAAGGAGACAGTTTGCATTAGCGTTAGCAGACGAGAATGTTTGTTTTAAACACAATTAACAACCCCGGAATTAAGTGTATTCAAATAGTCACGATAGTTCGAGTCATTTACCTAGCCATTGTATGGTTAGAGCAATTATAGCAGTCAAGGCCGAACGGTTCTCACATGACAGTATTAACGTAGCAACAGCGTGTATTTAGCATATAGTAAAAAGGAATTAGAAGAATATCATCGTGCTACTCAAAAGTTGCGCTTACACAAACAAAATACAACTCATTTACATGAATTCTTATCGCGCTAACAGGTTTGACGTATTTTGAAGAATTTGAATTTTTTCGACAAGTGGAAATTCTTGTAGGGGGATAATTAAGTGCAAAATGATTATTAAAGACGAACGATTTTACAATTTAATTTTTAAACCACTCGAATTAGCGTTTTCAGGGTTTCATAAATAAATTCCAATTAAAAACTTATTCCAATTACTACTTGAGAAATACATTCAACCGCGTCAAACATACTGTTCTGCACGTTACTGTTCCCTTTTACTGTGGTTTAACTGAGGCATGTACACCTGTCGGAATATGTCAGTAGTGTAATTAATGAAGCGTTTAGTAGTCGCTTCTGGCTGAAATAATTATCTTGTTACTACCAAAAATTACAGTCCAAAGTTTAATGTGTAGAATCTTATGTTCTTGTAAATGCGCTATTGTAACTTGTAAGATCGTTAGTGCATGCAAAGATAGTGCATATGAGATGACAAATTAAAGGCGTTTAATTTTTTCGCTCTTTAACTTTCAGTATGTGTCAAAACATATTACTTAAAATTCTTATGCAAATGTAATGATAAAATAATACAAGATTGAAATGTTTGCGTAGCAATTGAAATCGCACGAAGATATCAGTTATTGTCGAGCGAGATAAGGCGCATTGTTTATTTTATCCGCCAACAACTGGCGCGGTTGTTGCCACGTAGAATGCCGTAAAATTCCTCTTAACTATGTCCACATGATGTATGTGCTCGGTAGAAGCGTGCACCATCAATCATTGTAGTTCATGTTTCGTACACTATCGTGATTCATTGCACATGACGTGACGTGCCAATATTTTATTTATGGACCAGCTTTAAAACAGTTTTACGAAGGTAATACTTCAATTTCTGATTTTAATCTCTTTATACAGAAACTGGTCCAATTACTAAACAGAGCATAATGCAGTTATAAAATAAACTAGCTGTGCCCACGACTTCGTACGCGTGAAAACCCGTTTTCGCAACATTTTTCATTGTTGCTCTGCTCCTATTGATCGTAGCGTGATGTTGTATAACCTATAGCCTTCCTCGATAAATGGGCTATCTAAAACTGAAAGAATTTTTCAAATCGGACCAGTAGTTCCGGAGATTAGCGCGTTCAAGTAAACAAACATCCAAACTTTTCAGCTTTATAATATAAGTAGGTACCTATAGATGAGCTGTAAATGAGCGGCAAGTTTTATCGAGGTTTCTTGAATCTTGTAGGTACGCGTTATAGTTGCAGAATAGGTGATTCATTGCTACTAAATATTAACCAAACAGAAAGTCTAATTACTCAAGCACTTTCAAGGCGCACGCGCAAACCAATGCTCCACAAAATCCTGATAGCAGTCTGCAACGCCGAGCGAGTGGCGAACATACAGAGCCAGTGAAATACATAGTAAATGTGGGCTACTTGCTAAGTTTTGAATTAATGAAATGGGGCAAGGGACCTTACCCAAGAACGTGAATTCAAAGATCAACATAGAAGTTCAAGGTAAACATTAGTACGCCTAATCTACACTCAAAAAAACTGGCTTGAAGTGCTTTAAGACTGGCTCCTAACATGATAAGAAAAGATAACCATAATAAAAACCTTTTGATTAGGTAACTGCACCACTTTCGTCACACTTGCGACTCGAGGCAGTGTGTGGTAAATAATAAACTGTTTCGCTCGTCAATACGCGGCAAGGCCGCGGCTAATGGCCTGTCGTCCGCAAACCGCAGTGTGGGTGCTTGAAATCAATACTGCATTACCTGGCTCTTGATTCTGACGGCTTTATGCCATGCCTTAATATTAAGATTCGATTGCAATGTTACGTTTACGTTTTATTCGTAAAGAATAAGGTGGGGTAGGTTATTTATCAGAGGGGTGCGATGGTGAGCGACCTCCTCGTGGTGCACCCTGGGCAACGTCCGCGTGGTCTGTTCACGCGGGCGGCTAACTTCTCACCTGCGCGGCAGGTCTCGTCAACTCGGCGGGTCTGTCGGGCAACCCGTAACCCACAATTGAGTGGGCCGGGGGCCGTCGAGGCATTTGCCCGGGCCACGATGCAGGGGACATCTTTAAAAACCCCCACAGGTGGGGGCTGGCGGGGCGTTTGCCCGGGCCCATTCTTTGGAGGGCCGCTCTAGCTCTAGCTCTGCTCCGCGGCATAGAGCAGACCGTAACCCGCTANGGCCCTTTCAGATAATATACCTAACATCAAAACCATTATTATTTACTCTCTAAAAGCGGTCATGGTTTAGTAGAGTATTCAATAAAATTAATATCATTATTGCAATAAAAATGAGTTGCCTCAAAACTCGCCAAAAACCTAGATGAATAATTATTACATGTCCAGTCATTCGGTCACGTGTGACGCGAAAACAGTCTATATTTTCAAGGTTGGACCAACAGGCCAACTGTGTCCATACACAAAGTATATCTTAAGCCGGGTGCTCATTAGCAAGCTCTAACTATAAAGGTATTAACGCATTGTCACGTGGCATGCGCGTGCGGCGATTGTTTAAAACCTGAAGAGTCGGGCTTACGCCCTTCAATGTCATCTCATACAAATGTCTCACGTCCCATACAAATGTCAATGTTGTACATAGCAGTGAGATGACCTAAAAAAAGGTGAATTTGTAAGTGATTCGCAGGCAGAACGAGTTGCGTTAAGAGCGACATTTCAAGTCATAACACATAACTTTGTATAAAAATCCAACAGTTTTTGGCTTTAATTTTATAAGAATTTTCTCCTAGGCCAGTTTTGAAGCAAACAATTTACTGTCTTAAGATAATAGCAATAGGAAGCAATTTGATTTGCATTTAATCTTTCTTGAAGGAGACAGTTTGCTTTAGCGTTAGCAGACGAAAATGTTTGTTTTACACACAATTAACAACCCCGGAATTAAATGAATTCAAATAGTCACGATAGTTCGAGTAATTTACCTAGCCATTGTATGGTTAGTAGCAATTATAGCAGTCAAGGCCGAACGGTTCTCACATGACAGTATTAACGTAGCAACAGCGTGTATTTAGCATATTATAGTAAAAGGTAGTTAGAATAACATCTTCGTGCTACTCAAAATTTGCGCTTACACAAACAAAATACAACTCATTAACATGAATTCTTATTGTGCTAACAAGTTTGACGTATTTTGAAGAATTTGAATTTTCTCGACAAGTTTTCTTGTACGGAGATAATTAAGTGCGAAATGATTTTGATGACAAACCATTTTACAATTTAATTTTTAAACCACTCGAATTAGCGTTTTTAGGGTTTCATAAATAAATTCAACTTATTCCAATTACTACTTGAGAAATACATTCAACCGCGTCGAACATACTGTTCCCTTTTACTGTGGTTTAACTGAGGCATGTACACCTGTCGGAATATGTCAGTTAGTGTAATTAATGAAGCGTTTAGTATTCGCTTCTAGCTGAAATAATTATCTTGTTCCTACCAAAATTTACAGACAAAAATCAGAATTTAATGTGTAGAATCTTATGTTCTTGTAAATGCGCTATTATAACTTGTAAGGCCCTTGTTTCTAAGTTAAGTATATTATTATGTTGTTTGTAAGTGAAGATACAATGGGGCTGACATATCCATGTGGATAAAAGCCCCAAATCAAATAAAGAATAAAAAAAAACTTGTAAGGCCCTTAGTGCATGCGACTGTATAAGATGACAAATTAAAGGCATTTCATTTTTACGTTCTTTAACTTTCACGCCAAAAGGATGAAAAAAACCGTGGTGTATGAGTATACATTAGGTAATACTTTAGTGTCAAAACATATTACTTAAAATTCTTATGCAAAAATAATGATAAAATAATACAAGATTGAAATGTTTGCGTAGCAATTGAAATCGCACGAAGATATCAGTTATTGTCGAGCGAGATAAGGCGCATTGTTTATTTTTTATCCGCCAACAATTGGCGCGGTTGTTGCCACGTAGAATGTCGTAAAATTCCTCTCAACTATGTCCACATGATGTATGTGCTCGGTAGAAGCGTGCACCATCAATCATTGTAGTTCACGTTTTGTACACTATCGTGATTCATTGCACATGACGTAACATGCCAATATTTTATTTATGGACCAGCTTTAAAACAGTTTTACGAAGGTAATACTTCAATTTCTGATTTTAATCTCTTTATACAGAAACTGGTCCAATTACTAAACAGAGCATAATGCAGTTATAAAATAAAAGAGCTCTAAATGTGCGGCAAGTTCTTTCGAATCTTCTTGAATCATGTAATCATGTTATAGCTGCAGAATAGGTGATTCATTGCCACTAAATATTAACCAAACAGAAAGTCTCGAGCACTTTCAAGGCGCACGCGCAAACCATACTCCACAAAATCCTGATAGCAATCACCAAGGCGGAGCGAGTGGCGAACATACAGAGCCAGTGAAATACATTGTGTTGCTACACACATCAGTGTGGGCTACTTGCTAAGTTTTGAATTAATGAAATGGGGCAGAAGACCTCGTCTAAGGACGTGACTTTATAGTTCAACATAGAAGTTCAAGGTAAACATTAGTACGCTTAATCGTACACTCAAAAAAATCCCCTTTGGTCGAAGTGCTAAGACTGGCCCCTAACAAGATAAGAAAGATAACCCTAGCGAAAATAATTTTGATTGGATAACCGCACTACTTTCGCCACACTTGCGACTCGAGGCAGTGTGTGGTAAATAATAAAACGTTTCGCTCGTCAATACGCGGCAAGGCCGCAGCTAATGGCCTGTCGTCCGCAAACCGCAGTGTGGGTGCTTGAAATCAATACTGCATTACCTGGCTCTTGATTCTGACGGCTTTATGGCATGCCTTAATATTAAGATTCGATTGCAATGTTACGTTTACGTTTTATTCGTAAAGAATAAGGTGGGGTAGGTCATTGTCAGCAAATTTTTTAACTTAACAATCAATGTTTTTACTGCATAGTCATAGTAATTACGTATGATAATAGGCAATGAACAAGGACAAGTTAATAATGCGCTGTAATACCTACATTCACAATGTACATATTTCTTTTCGTTGACCAACACCGTTAGTACCGGACGACTGTTGTCACCATTACTCACTTAAGAATCGCGAAGGGTTCAGCAGACGCTAACAACGAATGACATCCATTGGATTTATAGTCTTCTACACGATGATGTATTTTTCCATTCTTTAACATGGACTCTTCTACTGATATTATGTTTATCAAATAATATATCGGTCCCAAGATTTTTTTGTCTATTATTGCTGTTCTGATAAATTTTTGCATGGAAGCCTTCCTGAGCCTCTTAAGACTCCACTAGCGACCAAAGATGGTATTGGTTGGTCTTACCTAAAGGCTTACCAACGATAGTGTTGCAGAACATCATTGGAAGCATTACAAGTGCTAGGAGCTGACTCTCACGAAACAGATACAAGATGGTTGTTGACTGGACCTTTTTTTTTTTTTTTTTTTTTCCAGTGGGTATGCGCAAAGCATTTCCCGACGAAAAAAAAAAAAAAAAGGTTATTTATCAGAAAATGTAATTGTTCAACTTCACAATGAATGTTTTTACTGCCTAGTCATATTAATTACGTATTATGATAGACAATGAACAAGGACAAGTTAATAATGCGCTGTAATACCTACAATCCTACATTCACAATGTACATATTACTTTTCGTTGACCAATACCGTAAGTACCGGACGACTGTTGTCTTCATTACTCACTTAAAGATCGCGAAGGGTGGTATAGATAACAGCTACAGCACATCTTTAAATAGAAGCATTACAAGCGCTACGAACTGACTCTAACTAAACAAATACAAGATGTTTGTTGACTGGGCTTTACCTGAAGGCTTCCCATCGATGGTGTTACAGAACAGCAACACATCCTTGGAAGCATTGGAGGCGTCATATCAGTTGGCCTCAAACTCCGAAGCTATACAGATCTGTGATGGTATCGACTGGCCCTACCTGAAGGCTTCCCATTGATGGTGCAAAAGAAGAGCTGCAGCACATCCTTGGAAGCATTACAGGCGATATTAGCTGTCATGTCTCAATAAACAGACTGTTGAGTAGACCTTACCTGAAGGCTTCCCATCGATGGTGTTGCAGAACAGCTGCAGAACGTTCTTGATGGCGTTGGAGGCGCCGGCGGACAGGCAGATGTCCTGCCAGTTGGCCGGGTGGCCGTCGCGTCGCTCGACTCTAAACAGATGGTTATTGACTGGGTCTCACCTGAAGGCTTCCCATCGATGGTGTTGCAGAACAGCTGCAGAACGTTCTTGATGGCGTTGGAGGCGCCGGCGGACAGGCAAATGTCCTGCCAGTTGGCCGGGTGGCCGTCGCGCCGCTCGATGTACTCGGCCACGTGCCGCCGGATCAGCTCGATGCCGTGCGACATCGTGTACGAGCCCACCGACTTGCCCCTGGAACAGAGGCAGGTTTAGCCGGGGTTGCACCATCTTATCCGCAGGAGAACCAAAGTAACCGACATAGCTCGCAGAATTGCTAAAATCAAGTGGCAGTGGGCGGGGCACATAGCTCGTAGAGACGATGGCCTTTAGGGCAGGAAAGTTCTCGAGTGGCGACCACGGGCTGGAAGACGTAGCGTGGGCAGGCCTCCTACTAGGTGGACCGACGATCTGGTAAATGTCGCGGGAAGAGCCTGGATGCGGGCAGCGCAGGACCGTTCATCGTGGAAAACCTTGGGGGAGGCCTTTGTCCAGCAGTGGACGTCATTTGGCTGAAACGAACGAACACCATCTTACAATAACTATGTCGCGGAAATCTAAGGCTACGGCCGGATACTCGCGACACCCCCACTCGGGCGATGACGGAACGCCGCGGAGGTTTTAGTGGGTATACCCAGTCCTTTTCAGGACGGAGCAGCGCCCTTTTTAGGGCGCCGGGAGTCCCACACATCACCCTGTCCCCCGGCAGAGGTGACTGTGCGCAAAGCATTTCATCCGCGACAAAAAACATCTTCTAATAACTATAATTAAGTCAAAAGTCTGTCAAATTCCGTACAAAAAGTTAAGGTAATGCAAGTCAGTCTAAAATAGCTGTTTACTAAACTGACAATTATAGCATCGCATAGCGATTTGAAAGATAGTTAGACGCATTCTGCTGTGCCGCGAGACATCGTGTACGAGCCCACGGACTTGCCCCTGGAACAGAGGCAAGTTTAAACAGCAGTTCAATAACCCTACGGTAGCATAGGAATGCCGATTCGATGCTAGTTGGATTCCTTTCAGTCATGCCAAATGTTTAAATTGTGTAGTCATAGTTTAAATGTTTAAACAGCTGTTCAATGACCCGACAGTTTCGGCATCGAGCTGTCGAGAGCTCGCTAGTTCCCCTTCGGTCGTATGACTATTATGGTCACTCCAAACGAGCAAATGCTTAGCTTAGCTGGTGGGGTTAGCGCGAAGTCTAGTTTATGCCTACACTTTGATAAGAATTATTCTCGTTAGTGTTCTGTTCCTATCAGGGACAAAAAAAGAGACCTGAAAAGATTGGGGGTTTCAGCTCAGTTTAAAACATGTCAGTTTTGAATATTATGTTATATGACGTACGAGCTTCATCGTTATAACGGGGGCAACGGTTTATCGTAAATGTCTGCGATATAAATACGCGACAAAGGCCAAACAAAGATTTCACATCCCTGACGAAACAATAAAGCGCCTTTGCACACAACGTCTTTTATACGCGTAGTATAAACAAGAAAGTTATATTTTTAGAAAAAAAACCTTTGAAAAAGAGGCTGACAATAGAGACTGAGTTTCTTGCGCTGCTTCTTCTAAGCACTGGCCCATTTATTGTCCTGAAGCAGTGGTAGAGTTAATACTGGGACATGTAAAAGTGCTTTTTAAAGCCTAATTGCAGAAATAAATGAGTTTTATGAGTTTTTAAAGGACTTACCCGCATGCATTCAGGATTTCTCTTGCCCTCTGTTTGACGTCTTCCGGGTAGCCGCCCTTATCGATAATTTCGGGTAACGTCACACATGCTAACACCTACAAAACGACACATGACTTGAAACTAGTGGTATTAGTGACAAGGACTTGACTATGACTACAAAATACTATTCTTCGAAAGTTATCACTGTCTCTAAGCCTATGCGCAGACCATCGATTTTTCGTCGGCCGATAGTTTAGTCGGGCAGTTGATCAGTATAGGCATGTATGGAAGTGCGCACAATACGCCGATAGGATTTGGCCGATTCTTCATACAAATAAAATCGGGCCCAACTATCGGCCAACTAAAAATCAGTGGTGTGCGCCTAAAGACAAGGGTCATAAAAAATAAGGGACTTTTTAGTGAATAAATTCTAAAATGTGGGTTCTAATTGTTAATATGCATTATTCAGTCTGTTGAATTTTCCAATCATCTCGGAATCTTGTTTTATTTTGCATATATACTTTGGCTATATTTAAATCAATTTACTAATTTTATGACACAAACCTAATATTAAAGGGTAAAGTAAGATAAGGAAGTGTTTACCTGTCTGATGAAAGTAATGGGCTGCTGTCCCATGGCATGGGCATCTCCAATGTTGGCTCTGATCACCTTTTTAAATGGTTTTTGAGCACCCTGTAGGAAAAATAAGGTTTCATAAATAAACTATTATATTTTCAATTCTTTAATAACAAAGAATATGAATATAATAGCTTTTCGTAATTATTTTCATGTTTATAAATAATTTTTTGATCAGAATCATTTCATCATAATAAAAAGGACCATGTTAGAGAAATATCAAATTACATACATTATTAGCGTAACTAACCAGTGTAATAATAAGTAATCACCTAATCAATAGAAGAGATAATGGATTAGATAGTAAGTAAATGTTTGTGTAATATTTTTATTATCAGTATCGGCACATTTCAACTGATGACAGTGTATTGCCTAGCAATAATGAATAATTACCTACATTTGCAATATTTAATAATATTCATAACAATCCAGCTAGACCAGTGATGTTGATAAGATTAAGGACTTTGACTGATTTTTAAACTCCCACTTAATTAAGTATGTATGTAACATTTAACTTGCGTTTTTCATTGTTTATTTTATAGTTTCTTCTGCATGATTGATTTTTGGTAAATTTTGGCAACATTATTCATTTAAAGTCAATATCAAAACTATTATAACAATGGTGTATAGAACAATACACATTCAATTTCCTAAACCATGCTGATAAGAATCACTTTAGTGTGTACGTATGAAAGTGTTTAACATGAAAGTTAATTAATGGATAACAGGTTTAAGATAAAACCATGACCTTCACATTGTGGTTAACGCAACGTTGCATCAGAGCAGGTTGTGGCTCGGGTTACATAACAAAGGCAGCATATGTTTCAGCTGACCCAGTAACAATACAATGTCATTGTTATTTTAATAAAGTTATTAAACTTATTATAGAAAATAGTAACATTTTAATATTATTTTGCAGTAATGTCTAAAAAAAATTGCATTCAAGTATTTTTTAAATAGAATTTAAACAATATCTAAATGTTTAAATAAAAATTACTTAAATCACATTCATGTGGGTATCTATGAATTTATTATTCAAAGATTCTGACTTGTGCTAAAAAATATTTATTCTACCCACAAGTTCCTTTTAAAACTTGTTGAAATCTAGTTCAATGTTTTGCACATTAGAATGTGAATTAAAAAGTTAATAGGCATGGTAAGTGAGCTTCATTGCTGGCTTCCTGAAACTCATGCTGGGGTGAAATCAATAAAATTATAACCTAAATTCATACACACAATCATACTTAATTTCGTTTATGACTGACTGAAACAATATTGCCAAATGGAAGTGATTGGAAGATATGCTAAAACTGGTTACCAATTTACTAATATTTCGTGAGTTTAAAATATGGTGTACTTTTACCTAATGACAGATCATTATCATAATGAAGTAAATGGTTTTCATTATTCTTTATTAAAGCTATGCATTATAATATTAGTCAAATTAAATAAGATGTGAATAAATAAATTACCTTTTGTAGTTCTTTTTCGATCTCGGCAGCGCGAATCACCAAAGGGCCGCGCACCGCATATTCCAATTTTAGCACATTTGGGTTCAAATTATCGGCATTTAAAACTTTGCTGGCCATGGTCCGAGCTGTTCCAAGGCTTCTCAAGGGGTCCACAACAATTTCGACGGCACCAGAACGTGCCGCGACGCCAGACAACAAACGACTGACGCGCGATAACATTCTCATTTGTGGTGACATGATCAAATCAGTTGCACTACTTTATTAACAACACTTTACAAAAACACTACAAGAAAATACAAATTCGTAACGATTTAAATAAGGCAAAAAATATATCACATACACTTCTTCATAAACTTTGATTTATTCAACCGATCGCGCACAATATTGGAATTACTGTCTTGTAAATGAGACTTGCGGCAGCCGCTGACTGCTTGCTACAATCGATCGGTATTGTCTCGCCACTTTGTAAACAAAGATTCACGACATCACTTGATAATACAGTAGGTATTTACTTTAGAGAAGTTATGAAACGAATGATGATGATGTTGATCAAAGAACGATATCTGACCCCAAGGGGTTATCTGATTATATACGTAAGTACTACACACACCGCTTATTATTTTATCTATTTAGATAAGTTTATCACACTAACACACACGAAACACACATATTTAACAAATAAAATGATTTTAACTTGTTACGTAAATACTTTGAATTCAAAATTAATTTACTTGGCAGTTGTTTGACATTTCTGTTTTTTTAGGTATTTAAAAACGCCGGAATGTTGGCAACAATGTCTTAAATGTCAAATGTGCCAAGTATGTGATGTGACATTTTGGCGTACTTCATTCCAGTGAAGTCCAACAAAATAGAGCTCAGTTAACTTTTATCAAAATAAAACTATCTTTAGAGGGTGGACATAAGGTTTCTTTTGTATTGATTAGTTCAGGTTTTCTTAACAAAGTCGCAGTCACTTCGGTGGTGAACCCACTACACCTACCACAGATTAGAGAGAATGTCCAAAGTCCTACCTTGTGAGATCCTCCTACCATTAATTGAATATTCACTGATATATCAGCCAACCAACCAAATTTGGTTGGTTGGAAGACTCGCGCGATAACAGAGCGGTTGCCGGTTTCTGGTGATTCTCTCTTATTGACGAGGCAGAGGCGAGAGGGAGGCGGCTACGCGTACACTACCCTGTTGTTACGGTTTGATGCTACGGTTTAATCCACAGATGAGACAGGGATCGGCACAAATTATCGCTGTATCACTTCGGTCTTATTTAATCTCGCTTTCTAAACCAGGCCCGGCATCAGTTTTTTTTAATAAAAGAGAGAGGGAAAAGACGGAGGGAGGGAGAGAAAGTGACTGAGGAGAGGGTGAGGTAGAGCCGGATTAAGGGTTTTATATAACTTTATAGCAAGGTTTATAGGTTACTAGCTTTCCGCCCGCGGCTTCGCCCGCGTGGATTTTTGTCTGTCACAGAAAAACTTTATCGCGCGCGTCCCTGTTTCAAAAACCGGGATAAAAACTATCCTATGTTCTTTCCCGGGACTCAAACTATCTCTATGCCAAATTTCATCAAAATCGGTTGCGAGGTTTAAGCGGGAAAGCGTAACAGACAGACAGACAGACAGACAGACAGACAGACAGAGTTACTTTCGCATTTATAATATTAGTTGGGATAAGTAATAAAATCAACATTTTGTTTTCATCATTCATTTATTTTTACACAATATTTTTCAACTAATGTCAGACGACTGTCTAATAACTATAATAATCCCAATACAAAAATATTTCATCTTCTTACTCTCATATATTATTCTTAATATTGACAGATTTATACCTTTTTACATTATATCAATTCTCATACAAGTATTTTTGTAGATTATGTAATTTTTCGTTAATTAATGTGATGTAATATTCACAAAGACATCTTTGTTTCTATTATAGTTATAATACATATTTATATTCGTATCGAATGATCATAATAATTTCGTTTACAATATACATCACAAGATAAGATGAACGCAATATCATTATTTACATCTCGTAAGAGGCTCGATATCAACTGATGAGATTATCAATAATTAAAAATTAACAACAGAAACATTATCTCACACATTTATGGCAAATCGTCAATGAGTTACTAATAAATTTTACCATTTAATAGACAATTATAAAACACAACACGGCTATATTTTACATAGTCTTAACCGAAATAAATAAATTATTTTTCTATATAGTATATTGCTTATTGTCGAACAAATTTAAAACCCTACGGAAGATCGCCGGAGCGTCCCGAGCGAGCGCCGAGCGTTCGCGGCGAGCGCTCCGGCGCCGAACAACAATTCCTTTATTACTCAATTATGTACTAGTCTCTATACCTAGATCAACGTCCTATACAGATCTTAGGAATGTATGGGCTTACCTAACCACGCAACAGAAATTGGTACGGCGAGCTTTGTAAAACGATAAAAATGTATAACACGTAAATATAAATCATATGTCTATAGTCTCGGACAAAGTCGGAATGCATGTTTTAGTCTAAGTTACAAATTTATAAATCTCTCTATATACATAACGTTCGATTATGAACAATATCACGTGCTGATATGATTACTTCGGTCCAAAATGACAATGTTCTCTGGAAAGGAGTGTCGTCGGCTTTGAGTGACAATAAACTTGAAAATTATCGGAAAACGAAGAGGAAAAATGTGTAAAAGACGTTACAAAAGATTTCAAGTTGTGTCCATAGTTGAAAAGACCTCATTTAACACCTTAACACTCTTGTAGAGTACTTGCCATCTATAGACACATCCTCGAAACGTTAAAGGTTAAAGTGAAAATAAAAGTAAGAAAGGCTCAAAAACAGCGACACGCGATTCCAGAGAATGTTATCAAGGGCGCTGCCCATATAAGATTTATCTCCGTTTACACGGCACCGATCCGAATGGAATGATTCGATTTGAGCATAACTAGTCTAAACGAAGACAGTGCCGTCCAAACGAACTTATCAATTACGTAATTCGAGTCGGCGTGCCGACGAGACAGAGCTGTCGCCTTCAGTGTGCTTTTAATGCTGCGCCTCTGTCAAACCGCGCATACTAAAGATCCGTTCGTTTCGGGACCGATCAGAAGCGAGGTCCCGAATTCAAACTCCCGTGACGAGTCAACGAGTCGAACGTTGACGGATCAAAGCAGCGAATTTACAATTTTACCATCTGATAATTTTATTGTTATTTAAAAAATCAGTGCTATCGTTAGAAATTATATTCTCACGGTGTTAACGTACTATCGGCAAGCGTTAACTTCCCACTGCCGGTCATGTCGTCTCGTTCTATCGCAAAGAATCACCTTTTGATTAGAGCGAGAGCAAAAACGGTAATGGATAGTTAACACTGTGGCCGTGTATACAATGCGGATAAAAGAACAAAAATGAATGTAAGGTTACGGCAGAGTAAATACAAATGAGTAGGTCATCTTTATAGAAACGCCTGAACGCGGTTTGTATGTGAGCGCGCCAATACGTATGCGGCGCGCACGCACACACTGACAAAATTTAGCGTGGATTAGCGGGGCGTTGCGCTGAATTGTCAGTGTGTCCGTGCGCGCCGCATACGTATTGGCGCGCGCTCTCATACAAATCGCGCTCGGTGCGTTTCTATGAACATGACCTACTCATTGGGAATTTACTCTGGTTACGGCTACACTACATCCAGCTAAAGCGAGGAACGTCGCAGTCGGCTCGGGCGGCCGGCCAGTCGGCTCGGAACGGGGGCAGGCGTAGGTAACGCGGGGCGCGGGCGCGCAGGCGGCGGGGCTCCAGCGGCCCCGCGCCGCGCTAGCACTCGCGGTCCTCGCGCACCAGCGCCGCCGTGTCCGCGCCCGTGTCCGCCGCCGGGTCCAGCGCGCGCGCCGCGCCCGCGCCCGCCGCGCCCGCCGAGCCTCGCTTCAGGCCTGCGCTGCGGGTCTCCGTTGATGACGGTGAGATCACCGCCGACACCACTTTGTCCTTGAGCTCGTCGGGCACTTCGTATATGCCGGCTGGAGGAAAAGAAACATTGATGATAGAAAGTTATGTTGCGTATCATATTATTTATGGTGTTGGAACAAAACCTTTGCTTAGTTTTTGTTTTATTTTTTCTTTTCTAGAATTTTTGTAATCCGCCCCTGCAATCAATAAAACGCAAAATACTGGCGTTGTAACCTACATCCAGTTTTGAAAAAAAAAAAAGTTAATTTCAAGACTACCAACATTATAAAAAAAGATCAAAGTGACAGATCAACTATGCGAACTTTTGAATGTCATTGCCGCCTTAATTTAGACAGGGTCATCTATTTTTGTTCCCGGTGCATTTAGAAAATAGACAGTGCACTTTCAACAGTTTAACCGAAGCAATCTTCAAAAAAGTGAATGAACATTTTGTAATAATGCATTTGCTTGCATAATGTAGTAAATAAAAGTACATATTTTTTTACCAAAACTTTGTATAAAACCTATAGGCCTAGAATGTGGATATAAAGCGGTTATCACGCCATTTCATCGGGTTTTTCCCATTGAAGTCTAAAATCATCGTTATGATTTGCATTTAACAAGTGTCATTTTTTATAGTTACTTTTGTGAAGCCTCAATGTAACCTTGTTGGTGTTCAAATAAATAAATAAATAAATGATTATAATTATACGTCATGGCTAGATGACGTCTGACACAATAACAACCTACTGTTAATTGACCCACAACTTTTACGTTCTTTTATCATACATAAATAAGCCAAGCTTTCTATTCCAGAGTTTATTAATTTTTGGATTGTTAAACACTTAAATTATTTGGGGGGCCCAGTGACCCCCGACGTTGAACAGGTTAAGAACAAAATGAAATGATGAACTTACGCAATGGCGGCTCGGGGTCGCCTTGGGCGCGCGCGCGCGTGACGGCGTCGTACATGGGGTTGCTGAAGTCGCGGCCCTTGCGCGTGTCCTCCAGCGAGTAGGCGGGCTCGGCCACGCCGCCGAACTCCACGTTGGAGCCCTGCCGGAACGACACGCTCTGCGAGGACGCTAAGCTGCCCAGGCCGCCGCCTTTGCCGCTGTGGGAGAAACGTTTATTCATTTTCATTTCTTAGGAGTTGGCGAGTTCATTGGAGGGATAAGATGGTCGCCTCGAACCGACAAAAATGGAAGCCAGGAGAGCTACCCTCGGAGATGATATCGAACACCCCACCGTGTTCCTCGTCAGCGCAATGACCACTCTGACAAGTTAGCCCGATTAAACAGTTAAAAAGAAGAAGATGGTAAAATGCTTGGAGGATGAATATTATTATTTGCAGAGTTCAGTAGTCATCATAAAACATAGATAAGTGTCAGAACTATACGAATAAGGTTTCACGAAAACCGACTACTGACCACAGCCAACGCCGCGCACGTCGACGGCTGTAGTTCGGCGCGATAAGAGTAGCGTAGTCTTCATATGCCGCTACACGCGGACATACTTGAGGGAGTGAGATACACTAAATAAACACTCACAATGGTCTCTTCCTTATCACGAACCACGCGGCCGCTGCTCCTAGCACCAGTACCAGCACCAATAACACTGGCACTATGACGGCAGCAGCGGCAGCGGCGCGCGCGGCGGTCACAGGCGCGGCGGCGGCGCAGGTCGGCGGTTGTAGGCGCAGCGGAGCGAGCCTTCCTTTTGTACTGTTGTTCTCCTTACATGTAAGGATGCCTCTAGCCCATGGGCTAGAGGCATAGGGCATAGAGAGAAATAACACTCACAATGGTCTCTTCCTTATCACGAACCACGCGGCCGCCGCTCCTAGCACCAGAACCAGCACCAATAACACGGGCACGATGACGGCAGCGGCGGCAGCGGCACGAGCGGCGGTCACAGGCGCGGCGGCGGCACAAGTCGGCGGCTGTAACCCGGCGCGGCAGGCGCAGCTGAGTTCGCCTTCTTCTTCGACGCAGGTGCCGCCGTTCTCACATGGGCATACTCGGGGGAGGGGACGCTCGGGTTCGACAGCTGTTGGGGGAAGAAAAGGTAACGGTGATAAAAGTTGGATGACACCATTAATTATTTTTTTCAAATAACTGTTGTAAAAACACAATCATTCTACTTCTGTTTAAGTTTTTAATATTATACATATTTATTTGTTGCTAGTAATTAACTTTGTAAAGCGTCTTTGTCTAGAGAGGTTGAATTGGTAACTCGCAGTACAAAATTATTTACAGGTGATGCTTCTGTCGACAATCAGCAGGAATCGTATTTAAGAGGTAAAATGATTCATGATTCATTCATAATCTCAAGTCAGCAGTCTGATATCAAAATCATTGAGCTTTTATGACATCCATCATCATCATCAGCAGCCACAGGACGTCCACTGCTGATCTCATCCCTATCCTATGATTTATAGATTAGCCGGTTAGTAGTGAAAGGTTAATAGTGCCACCTATGTCCTTATTCTGTGATATTCTACAATGCAATTTATCTTCGTCATTTGTAACAGCATGCACTAAAACGAACATAATTAAGTCCTCTAAAGAGGCCTTTATCCAGCAGTAGAAATGTCCAGCGGTAGACTTATCCAGCTGTGGACTCATACAGCGGTGGACTCATCCAGCTGTGGACTCATACAGCGGTGGACTCATCCAGCGGTGGACTCATCCAGCGGTGGACTCATTAAGCAGTGGACTCATACAGCGGTGGACTCATACAGCGGTGGACTCATCCAGCGGTGGACTCATCCAGCGGTGGACTCATCCAGCGGTGGACTCATCCAGCGGTGGACTCATCCAGCGGTGGACTCATCCAGCGGTGGACTCATCCATCGGTGGACTCATCTAGCGGTGGACTCATCCAGCGGTGGACTCATACAGCGGTGGACTCATTTAGCGGTGGACTCATCCAGCGGTGGACTCATCCAGCGGTAGACTTATCCAACGGTAGACTTATCCAGCGGTAGACTTATCCAACGGTAGACTTATCCAGCGGTAGACTTATCCAGCGATAGGCTTATCCAGCGGTAGACTTGTCCAGCGGTAGACTTGTCCAGCGGTAGACTTGTCCAGCGGTAGACTTGTCCAGCGGTAGACTTATCCAGCGGTAGACTTGTCCAGCGGTAGACTTATCCAGCGGTGGACTTATCCAGCGGTGGACTCATCCAGCGGTGGACTTATCCAGCACTAGACTTGTCCAGCGGTAGATTTATCCAGCTGTAGACTTATCCAGCATAGACTTATTCAGCGGTAGACTTATCCAGCGGTAGACTTATCTAAAGCCTGGTCCGTGAGCACGTAGAATTTTGTCCAATGACCCCAAACTGCCCATCCTTGTCGCTCGCACGTAATTATGTTAGAATCCCGTCCAATGACCCCAAGCTACCCATCCTTATCGCTCGCAAGTAATTATGTTGCTGTCGCGCTCGCACACTCACTGCGGGCGCGCGTCACACAGTCACGACAGCAATATAATTACGCGCGAGCGATAAGGATGGGTAGCTTGGGGTCATTGGACGGGATTCTACGTGCTCACGGACCAGGCTTTAGCTGTAGACGTAGCCATTTTCAACAGTACTTATTTGTAGAAGCTATACTGACCGGCGTCGCAGGCTACGTCCTGCGCGGCGCGCTTGGGCTGCGGCGCGGCGTCGGGGCAGGCGCAGCGGCGGCCGCCCGGCACGGCCAGGCACAGGTGCGAGCACACCGCGCGCGCGCACGCGCCGCCGCCCGCAGACGTGTTGTAGCGCCGCGGGTGGTACACTGGAACACGAGAAACAATATTCAATCAATAAAATAAAAGGTATTTGATTCACGCATATACCTAAGTGTTAGCACAGAATAATAATAAGTACTACGTACAGAAGTTTAACTTCGCGAAGGTATTTAAAAAAATGTATGCTCAATGTCAATAACAATATGGTGTAATTTAGCCTGTCTCAAGAGTCAAGCACCATTTTGTTGACAAACGTCAGTGATCGGCACTGCGCCGAAGCTACAGGGCTGACTTCGGTAAAATGATGTGACGTGAGGTGCCAAACTGCGGAAAAAGGCGGAGGAAATACATGATTTAGCATGGATTATCATGAATAATATTAACTACTTATTTACCCCTCAGTGTCTTGAGGCAACTTAAAAAAGTACATTCTGTGTTTTTATTATTATTTAGGCAGTTAAATACTGCACAGTATTTAGTACACCATTTTCTTTATTTTCTTCCATCATACACAAGAATACGCGTGCGTGAGTCAATGTTCGCTCGTATGTGAGGCCTTGTTGAATAGTATCCTGTAGGTGGGCCATCGTGCGTGTTTTGTGAAACTAGGTTAGTAAATCACACAATTCGTTCGTTCGTTCGTTTCAGCCAAATGACGTCCACTGCTGGACGAAGGCCTCCTCCAAAGTTTTCCACAATGCACGGTCCTGCGCTGCCCGCATCCAGGCTCTTCCCGCAATCACACAATTTTTACACATAATTAAAAAACGTCAATTTGGTGTCTTTAGTAAGATGGACGCGTGTCCAGTGCTGCATAATAGCATGTCCAACCTCGCCGCGGCACTCTGCAGGAGGCTGTTGGAGCTGCCACGAACATGGTGGATCAGGGACGTCGTGCGCTTTCTTAAAATAGCAGCAAAGCTAAGTACTCCAGCTTCTGCCAGCATTCCTAATGCACTGCAGTATCGTCGCAGCCCCCTCAGCATCCTGAATGCGTCATTATACGCAGGGCCGGATTAACCATCTCGGGGCCCCTAGGCACAGCTTGTTTCGGGCCCCCCTTTTTTTTTGTCGTGTGCTTGCGCACCGTCACCACTGCCGGGGACAGGGTGGTGTGTGCTCCGTCCTAAAAAGGACGGGGTATACCCACTAAAATCTCCGCGGCGTTCCGTGATCGCCCAAGTGGGGGTATCCGGTCTTAGCCTTAGACTGCCGCGACACCACCGGTGACAGCTCGCCTTCACGGCGGACCCTACACGCCCCCCTTGTGGGGGTCCGACGGGAATGGCCCGAAACGCCAAGCCGTTCCCGTCAGACGGAGGTGACAAGGGTGCCCCCGCACCCCCGGCCTGCTGGCCGCCACCGGGGGGCAGAGTAAAACGGTCATACAACCACCTTCTCCATCTGCGGAGTGATGAGGCGAGAGGATTGTTCTCCCGCTCGCGCTCCGTTGCCTCCTTCTGAAGGATGACCTCTTCGCAAAAGGAGGCGACCGCCATCCAGCATCCTCCAGTTCCCAGCATGGCGTTGACCAGGCTCGGAAGCGAAAGATCCCGGCCCACACGGTGAGGACACGGCGCTGCTCCTCCTAGCCTGTGCAAACCGCGAGGGTGTGCTGCACCGTGTCATCCGCCGCGCCGCATTTGTGGCACAGTGGGGATTCCTCTCGCCCGATCCTATGCATATACGAACCGAAGCAGCCATGCCCGGTCAGCACCTGCGCCAGACAGAACGTGAGGAACCCGTGCGGTCGTTCCAACCATTGGTCCAGAACAGGACCAATGCACAATGGCGGCCAAACTGCGCGCGAGTCATGTCTTCCTTCCAGCGGTCGATCATGATCTCGCGCGCTTCCTGCCTGACGGCGCCGCGCCGCTCCGGGGCCGGGCGCTTTTCACGCGCCTTCTGGACTGCCATCCAGTGATAGATGACAGACAAGACCCCAGCTTCTACCTCCCAAGGAGGAGTACCAGCGAGGACGCACGCCGCAGCAGTGCCCTACCGTGCGGTAGGTCCTCGCGACTTTTTGCGCTATGGCCCGCTGGGGCCTGCGCAGAAGGGCAGCATTCTCCCTCTTGTTGAGTGCGTCCGCCCAGATTGGGGCGCCATACAACGCCATGCTCCTCAGAACGCCGGCATAAAGTCGACGACACCTCGTTTGTGGCCCTCCCAAATTCGGGAGGAGCCAACTCAGTGCGCCGGCTGCCTTGAGGAGGCGTGGCGCTAGCCCGTTAAAGTGCAGGCTAAAATGCCACCTCCCTTCAAGCGTGAGGCCCAGATATTTCATCTGGCCTTTGACGTCAATCCTAACGTCCTCAACCACAATGTGGGCGTCGGAAGGGGCGCGCTGGCGAGGCCCCGGAAAGAAATTCTGCGAGCGACTAATGTGCCGCCCGCCGACGCCAACCGTGCCGCGGCCCCAAATGTCTTCCCCAGGCAGTGACCAGAGTGTCATCCGCATCGCATATGACACTCATGCCAGCGAGAAGGACGCCCCGGAGGAGCCAGTTGAAGCCTAGGTTCCACGAGAGTGGACCGAGCACCGAACCCTGCGGAACCCCGCTGGCCGTCTTTGTTAACATAGGGACTTCGCGGTCCCGTAAGTCATCGGCCAGCAGCGCTCGAAGGTACTGAGGCACTCTGTGATGTTGAAGTGCCTAGAGTATGGTGGAATGAGGATGGTATTGAAAGCGTTGGCTATATCGAATGATATTGCCAACACACCCTCACCCCTCTCCCTAGCCTCCGCAGTGAGGCTTTTTAGCCTCTGAAGGGCGTCGACGGTCGACCTGTCATGTAAACCAAAGCAGTAATGAGAACGTTATGAAAATGAATTAGGTTCCACAATATCGAAATGTGACGATTGAATGTGTAAACCAAAATAAGGCGAAGTTTTGAGGTGGTTTGAGTTTTGTTTCATAAAAATAATCTTTAACATTTTTTTCCATTTTTTAATCCGGAGTGCTGGGCCCCTGGCCATAGTGGGCCCCTAGGCACTGGCCTAAAGTGCCTTATGGATAATACGGCACTGATTATACGTTATTAAGGACGAACTACACATCAACTCGATGCGGTCAGTATTTCTATGTATAAAACTCCGTCCTACACTGTAGCGTAACAAACTGACCGAAAACCACTCATTCCTTCGAAAGCAGGAATCATATTTCATCATCATGATCTTCGGATGCTGCAGGAACACGACTCTCCGAATTACCAGAGGTAAATTAAGTGTTTGACCTACATGTTGATGTTGACCTCATATTTATTTCCAAACAATCGTTTGAATTCAATGATAATTGTGTAAGACTTATTATTTTTATTCTACATGTATCATAATATAAGCTGTATGTTTTCCTAATAAAGAAAATAAAATAAAATAAAAATAAGCTAGCACATTTATCATGCTAACTGCTAAGGACTGGAACTCGTTTCCAAAGCTTTTCCGTACTTAGATGTCTTCAAACAGGTATTTATTTAAACGTGTCTCATTTAAAACTTCATCGTCACATTAATATCACTAAAATCAGAATGCAAACTCACCTTNCTGCCCTCGTTTATTTCAGACGTGTGGGTACGTGTGTAGATTAAATTATTATGATGCACTAAATATTTGTTTTAACCCTTAAGTAACATCCTTATTTTTGGTTACACTTTGAACACCCTGGGGCAAAAAATTACCCCAAACGGAAATTGAAAAAATTTTAAGTAAATATTTAAAATCAATTTAATTTTGTGATTTAAAATGTATTAATGGACTCACTGAATTATACGATTGCTTTAAAAGAACGTCTATCTAGCGTAAAGAAAGACCTAAATCAATCATAACAAAAAACAAATAATTTGTCATTGGCAACTAATAGTCTCCACAATGGTCTTCTAGAAAAATCTTGGAAAGTTATTGTGGGAACCAAAAACCTACAATAATCGGACATTAAATATATGTTTTATGCAGATTTTAAACACAAAATGAAATAAAACGAAAATTTCTGGCTTTATAATAAAGCAAAATAATAAAAAACTTTTTTTTTATGAAATTATGAAAAATTATTTAATAATTTTTTATTTTAAACTTTATTCCTATTTATTTTTTTCAAAACACATCAGACACGCTGACTTACTAGGTAATTATCACTTTTGAGCCCTATTTCTGTGTCGAATTTATGAACGCTCTGTTCTGAGGGGATGTCTTCAAAGTTCGAAAAGTATCATGTAAATCAAGCTCTAATTATCTCTCTGCATTCTAGAGACAACGTGCTAGTTAATCGTCATATAAATATTTACTCATTTTGTTTCAATGTTGTAAAAACCTATTAATAACATGTTAGGCGATGACAAATTAAAGTATGCGTAACTAACACCCTGGGGTAAATTTCTGCCCCACCTACCTGTATAAGCCAAACGAATGAATTTTTTCACATCCCGCATCTACGAGCTTAAAGCGCACATTCTGCATTGAGAATACACAAAACGACATTGCACCAGCTACGCTAGGAAAAAAGATATGTCAATTTTTATGCGCCTGGGGTAAAAAATTACCCCACGGTGTTACTTAAGGGTTAAATAGTCACTGAATTTGCCAATCAATGCACACACTTTAGGAGTCCCTCCAGGCAAGAAATTGCTAGATTTATTTAATTCTAAACAGTACTATTATTTTAAAATTCGCGCAGCGAACGCTAACGTACACGCAGCTGTCAACGTCCGTGACGTCTCTCTCAAATTAGAAAATAGACAGTGCAATTTCAACAGTTTAACCGAAGCAATCTTCAAAGAAGTGAATGAACATATTGTAATAATGTATTTGCTTGTATAATGTAGTAAGTAAAAGTACATATTTTTTTACCAAAACTTTGTTAAAACCTATAGGCCTAAAATGTGGATATAAAGCGGTTATCACGCCATTTCATCGGGTTTTTCCCATTGAAGTCTAAAATCATCGTTATGATTATAATTATACGTCATGGCTAGATGACGTCTGACACAATAACAACCTACTGTTGATTGACCCATAACTTTTACGTTCTTTTATCATACATAAATAAGCCAAGCTTTCTATTCCAGAGTTTATTAATTTTTGGATTGTTAAACACAAATTATTTGGGGGGCCCAGTGACCCCCGACGTTGAACAGGTTAAGAACAAAATGAAATGATGAACTTACGCAATGGCGGCTCGGGGTCGCCTTGGGCGCGGGCGCGCGTGACGGCGTCGTACATGGGGTTGCTGAAGTCGCGGCCCTTGCGCGTGTCCTCCAGCGAGTAGGCGGGCTCGGCCACGCCGCCGAACTCCACGTTGGAGCCCTGCCGGAACGACACGCTCTGCGAGGACGCCAAACTGCCGAGGCCGCCGCCTTTGCCACTGTGGGGAAAAACGTTTATTCATTTTCATTTCTCAGGAGTTAGCGAGTTCATTGGAGGGATATGATGGTCGCCTCGAACCGACAAAAATGGAAGCCAGGAGAGCTACCCTCGGAGATGATATCGAACACCCCACCGTGTACCTCGTCAGCGCAACGACCACTCTGACAAGTTAGCCCGATTAAACAGTTAAAAAGAAGAAGATGGTAAGATGTTTGGAGGATGAATATTATTATTTGCAGAGTTTAATAGGTATCATAAAACACTGTTTTATGTACACCGTCTTATGTACACTGTTTTATGTGCATACAAGTTTAAAATAAATAAATGAATAAAACATGGGTATGTGTCAAAACCTTACGAATAAGGCTTCACGAAAACCGACTACCAACCAAAGCCACCCACGTCGACGGCTGTAGTCCGGCGCGATAAGAGTAGCGGAGAGTCTTCATATGCCGCTACACGCGGACATACTTGGGGAGAGAGATAAACAACAAAAATAACACTCACAAGGGCCTCTTTCTAATGACAAACCACGCAGTTGCCGCTCCTAACACCAACACAAGCACTAGTAATACCGGCATGATGACGGCGGCTCGCGCGGCCCTTTCCTTTTGTGCTGCCGTTCTCGTAAAAGTATACTCGGGGGAGTGAGATACACTAAATAAACACTCACAATGGTCTCTTCCTTATCACGAACCACGCGGCCGCCGCTCCTAGCACCAGAACCAGCACCAATAACACGGGCACTATGACGGCGGCGGCGGCGGCGGCGCGCGCGGCAGTGACGGGCGCGGCGGCGGCACAGGTCGGCGGCTGTAACCCGGCGCGGCAGGCGCAGCGGAGTTCGCCTTCTTCTTCGACGCAGGTGCCGCCATTTTCGCATGGGCATACTCGGGGGAGGGGGCGCTCGGGTTCAACAGCTGTTGGGGGAGGAAAAGGTTAGAACAGTGATCGGACAATAATCCATTCAGATGAATTATCTCGATGAGATCATTGGATAATAATTGACACCACAATTCATAAATTCAAGACGTAACTTTTTATTTTATATTATTCTTACATAAAAATAACGCCTAGAAATCGTGAAGGTAAGTGAGTGAGTGAGTGCAAGAAAAGTGAGGCACTTAAAAAAAATTGTATCTCATTATTGACGTCAACTTTTCTATTACAGCCTCCCTAGACAAAATGCACTTTTTGATCGAATCGAAAATCGAATCTGTCAAAATTCTATACAAAAAAAGGCTTTTTACACTGGTTTGTGATTAACATTTACGGAAGGCGCTTATATCGAGTATTGATGGAAATCGAATGTTTTCTTTCGAATCGACAGTCCGATAGCAAAATCGGTGCTCGATCACATTAAAATTTCTGAATTCTTGGTCACTAATGACTAAGTAGGTACTAATACCAAAAACCTATGTTCTATGATGTTTTACGACACAATTCATCAAAAGAGGCCTTTATAGCAATAGACTTGTATGTAGAATACTGACCGGCGTCGCAGGCTACGTCCTGCGCGGCGCGCTTGGGCTGCGGCGCGGCGTCGGGGCAGGAGCAGCGCCGGCCGCCCGGCACGGCCAGGCACAGGTGCGAGCACACCGCGCGCGCGCACGCGCCGCCGCCCGCAGACGTGTTGTAGCGCCGCGGGTGGTACACTGGAATGTAACGTATAACGTATCGGGGTTAAGAGGCATTGGTGTGGAAACAGTCTCATTTAAAATAGATTTGCTTATTTTGAAAGTGTCGATAGCCTATCGATGAGCTCCAATCAAATCTCTCGATAGTACCAGAGTAAATACAAATGAGTAGGTCATCTTCATAGAAACGAACCGAGCGCGGTTTGTATGTGAGCGCGCCAATACGTATGCGGCGCGCACGCACACACTGACAAAATTCGGGGCAACTCCCCGCTAATCTCCGCTAAATTTTGTCAGTGTATGCGTGCGCACTTCATACGTATTGGCGCGCTCACATACAAACCGCGCTCAGTGCGTTTCTATGAAGATGACCTACTCATTTGTATTTACTCTGATATAGTTCCAAAATAGTGAACTGTCCTATGCATGACATTGACAGTGGGGCGCCACCGTCAATACCGGATCGCTGGTTCCGATTTTTGCCATGTTGGAAACCATATAGTCGAACGATGGTAGTGCCCCCCTGTCATTGAGTTTGGTGGGGCAGTTCAGCGTGGGTCATCTATAGTACAGTCAACGTCAAATAATTCGTGACACCCAAAGTGGCCAGAAAGTTGATAACACAACCTGATTTCAATTGTAATAAAGACGTGTTGCGAACTTTTTGGCTACTTTGGGTGTCAACTATTTGACGCTGACTGCACAATGTAATATCAATGTGATTACTCAGTTCACACGCATATTCGATAGATATTATTGATAGTGAAATATCATATGTTTACAATACTATCAATAATATCGATTATATGTTGACCAATAATATCGAGATAGAGGTATTCAGGTAGGAGATATCGATTAATCTATAGTAAATTTTTAGACAAGCCTAGTTCAAAACCCTGTCAGCACACAACAACTAAAACCAAATTGTTTTCTCACCTTTCACAGCCGACGGATTATCCAGGTCCTTCGAGATCACAAACGGCACGCCTCTGCCGAACTTGTCCTGCCGCACCAAGTCTCCAGTGTCTCTGGTCACCCAGTACAGCGACGACTCGAACACGTCCAAAGACAACGGGTGCTTCAAGATGTCTCCCTGCAGGATGATCTTACGGTGCGAGCCGTCGTGGCGCATCATCTCGATGGTGTTGAGTTTCGTGTCGGCCCAGTATATCGAGTGATCCATCGCCTGGTCGATCGATAAACCGGTCGGGTGTCGGATGTTCTCGGTCACGATCGGTCGCCGCTTCGAGCCGTCCATCCAGGCGATTTCGATCTTCGGCGCGGATCCGGCGTCGGCCCAGAACATCCTTCCCATTTGCGGGTCCAGGACTATTGACGTGGGGCTCTCAATACCAGCGGACACAAGCGCTCGTCGGTACCTTCCGTCTGTTCTAGCGACCATCACGCGTCNTTTTTTTCCATTTTTTAATCCGGAGTGCTGGGCCCCTGGCTATAATGGGCCCCTAGGCACTGGCCTAAAGTGCCTTATGGATAATACGGCACTGGATGCTAGGTCCATAAAAACATAATTATTGTAATATTTGTAATGCCAATAGAGGCTTCATTCCCAGTATTCTTCGGTTTTTGATCTTTTAAATTAATATAGGGTGTAGGGGCCAGTAGGGGACAGTTTGGCTAAAAGTTAGATTTCTTTTCAACTCGCTGCTAAAAACACCGATCTGTTCATTACACCCTGTATTTCACCCACATACGGGTTAAAAAAAACTTATATGAGTATCGCTTTACATGCTGAAAAATAAAGTGAAGCACCAAAAAATCACACAGCAAGGCATACGCACAGCCAAGGTATATTCACAGCTCTATGCATCGCATCAGCCACCTTGTAGCAATGTGAATATACCTTTATATCCGGGACAACACCCATGACGATCATAAACTCCATTTTTTTTATTATTTTAAAAGAAAATGGCATTATTTTTGGTGCCATTTGTTTTTAACTTTTCAATTAAGGTTTTGATAGATTTAAGTTTTATTATTTTGGTGCCAAAATCGCACAAGTATTGTTGCTATTTAATGAAGTAATCTCGAATAGATCTGTATATTAGGATACTGATTGTAAATTTAATTAATATTTTTAGATGAATTTTAATAAAGACATTAACTGCTAATAAATAATTTAAGATTTGCAAGTTTCATTAGTTTTAAGTTAATTAGGTATACGTCAAAACAAGCGTTTCAAATAAGGGAATATTATTTTATTAACGGTGCAATTTTGAACTTTTTATTGTAGTTTAAAAACTTCTGATTTAACGATGAAAATTATTAGCAATCGAGCTAGGAAGAACTTATTTGAAACGCGAAACAATGAGGCAACTTCTATTTCTGATTGTGTTTTATTAATAATAACAATTTACTAATGTTGTTAACTTCCAAGATTCTCCAATTAAAATATTTAAGTACGTTTGTTACAATGTTTGAATGTCGTACTGCGTGAATTGCATTTATTTTTGTTGTGTAAATGACTCTAAAGACAGACTTATGTTCATGAAATAAATTGTGGTTAATTATTTCTTAATTTGTTTTAATTGCCCTTCCACTTTCTCCAAATTAAATATGATAATCCGTACGAATTGAATGTCTATCGTGCCATCAGCGAGTTAGGACCTTGTCACCCAAATACCAATAGTGTACAGTGGCGCCAACTGGCGAATGCAAAGGTACTTAATTATTTATTCTATGTAGACCAGAGACAGTGATTTTAAGGTCGACTGGCGGAGAATGCTTTTAGCATTAAATCGTCCTTTTGTATCAATTTTTGTGCAATAGTTTTAAAAAAATCAATAAATTGCATTTTTAATTATGTAGGTATAGCCTGACCAGGAACATAAAAACCCTGGCATAGAGGCGCGTCAATTGCATTTGATAGTGCAACACTGAGTACAGTCGTACCTGTGTTAAATTAATAGACCAACTTTATGTATCAGGATTCAGGATTACGGGCTATTTTGATATTTTCATAAATTAACGAAAAAATATTATTATCAGTAAACTGGTTTAAATAAATTAAATGAAACCATCAATCAGCTAGTTGGATTTATTTTATTATTCATCAATAATCAAATTCAGAACTTGAATATTCAATTGCAATGTCTGCTCATGAACGCTTCAAACTCGGTACTTCTTTCCCAATTCCATAAAATTCAACACTTAGAAAGTGACAAAAAACTTTAAAATAGGTAGTTGAAACAAACTGCAGCTAATTTTCATAGTGGACTGTACTATACGATAAACATGTCAGTCAAATTGACAACCTTTGTCGGAAACATTATTCAATGAAAATATTGTCCGAACCCTTAGTATTTCTCTTTGACAAATACTTTAACACATTGTGAACCACTTTTCTTTCACGACTATAAAAAGATTTTAGCAATTTAATTCACAAAATCAATTGCGCACATTTAAAATAAAGTTTGTTTACACTTTGACAGCAATAGACTGACATGCAAGGTGACATGTCAATGAAGTTTTCAGTTACTGTTGCCATTAAAAGAAATTAGTACCATTAGTTTTCCGCAACATGGCGAGGGTTTTTATGTTCCTGGTCAGGCTATACTTTCCAAATTTTAAAAACAAATTAATTCCGCTAATAAAGTTACATTTATGTCATTACATAAAACGTATTTTTTGGAAAATTATAAAATTATAATTCCAATGTCTCAAATTAATGCAAAACTTTTTTGTCAACAATATGTTGCCCCTGGTATACTACTGCTGAGTTCTACTGTTATCACTAAAATAATAATCACCATAGACCATAGATCTATTGGTGGGACTGCAAATCATTTTTTACAAAACATGAGGAAGGACTTAGAAGTAGGACCACTGGCAACGCACATTCACACCTAAACAACTAGAGGAATCCAGAAAACCAAAACAAGCAAATATTTTTTTAGTTTTTTATTGTAATCACGCCCAATGCTATCGCAATGACGAACCCGCACCAAAGCGATACCACCCGACGGGACGATGGTGATCTTAACGGTACGACTTCTGGTAGCGAGCGCGCGCGCCTGGACCGCCGAACTTCTTCGGCTCGCAGCGACGCGGGTCCGCCACTAGTAAACTCCTGTCGTATTGGACAAGGATGTCCTTGATTTCCTTCTTTGAGGCCTCGTCTACATCTGAAAATAAAGTTACAAATCAGTTTTTTTTTATCCACAACGAGGAAGCTCTTGGCCTGTATCTCACCTGATGGTAAGTGATGATCAGGCCGAAGGTGGATTTTGAATTTAAATGAATCATGACAACAACAACAACTTCTGATGTGATGCTAAATTATTTGATTTAACATTTATCAAAATATCAATATTCTTTAATTCACTTATCATTATCTATGTAGACAGCAAGGTAAACACTGTACTCTCAAAAGTTAGGGCACGTTAGGGGTAGAAGACTACATTTTTATTATCAGCATAGCTAAATCAATTTATATGATTGGCAAGCATTACAAGAAATTGGATACTGCCCAATGCACTAAGGCTGGTTTTAGAGTCACGCTGACGCACGCTGACTGTCAGCGCTGACAGCCGAAATGTATGAAGCGTCGGCGCCGAGCGATCAGCGTCACTCAGGAACGTTCCCTTCAATTACATACATATTGATCTGTCAGCGCCGACGATCAGCGAGCGGTCAGCGCGATTCTAAAACCCGCCTAAATGTGTAATGTTCAAAGAGTAAAGTTTTTTTATTTAAAAATGGATCAATTACCATGTTACACTGAAGTTATGACCTTTTCATGCTATTTTATAGATGGTGTATAAAAAACTGGGTTAGTAAAACATTTGTTGTGTACACTTCAAACAAGCATAGTATTGAGAGCTGATGCCGTTTGGTAAATGTCACAATAATCTCCTTTCCCTGAAATGACTGAAAACCATGGGAGGTAGACAGCTTTGGAAAGAAAGGGTTCGTAAGACCAGTATTATTAGAGCCACTGCAAGAACACAATGAAACTTATTTTGGTTAGTAATTTCTTAAGAGCTCTAATCTTAGTGGTTGAGTTACAGAGACCATCCATTGTGAATGAGGATGCCTGTTCAGTCATCCGTAGCTTTGGATGAAATATGTAAGGGACACGGACAGGCGGCATGGTTCTATAGCTTAACCCGATCACAATGGATGGCCTATACACTGTTGAAAACTAAAAATTTACTTACATTTCTGGTAGAAAGCAATGAGTGCTTTGGAGATAGCCTGCCTGATGGCGTAGACCTGTGCGACGTGACCACCACCCTTGACGGTCACTCTGATATCAACACCGGAGAACTTTTCCTGGAAATTTACAATTTAATGTTTACTTCACTGTTCTTACGTTAACTAATTTAAGTCATAGCTTAGATTACACTCAGAACTTTCGTTTACTTCACATCTATAGATGCTCAGGTTCGGAATAAGTTTGATCATCATAGCATAGTTTTTAAAACAAATGCAAAAATGTTAGTATATATCAAAAATGCACACAAAATACATTCAGACTACAAAAACTACAAACAAATACTACATGATTGAACTTATCTACCAAACAAAATAAGATATTTGACCATTGATATGATTTGTGAAATTATACATGCAAATCAAACGTCAAAAGCTTCAAATTAATTTTATTTTTTCAATTTAGGGCTGATTTTTCAATCGTCGGATAACTTTTAACTGAAGAATAATTTGGCACATTGACAGTTTCGGTATGGAAAATATGTCAAAATGACAAGTTTATTCATCAGTTAAAAGATATCTGACGATTGAAAAATCGGCCCTTAGTGAAATATTACATAAATATGTATGGTCAAACATCATTGCGACACAAAACATTCTACAGATGTATACTGCCGCACAATTTATAAACGCAGTAAGTAACACGTGAACAGTTTCGAGAAAAACGCGATCAAAGTTGAAATTTTATTTTGGGGTGTCTACAATTAGTTACGCAAATATTTGTAAAAAAAAATATATGGGCTTATAGAGCTAAACTCAAAGTTTATTTTGATATGAGGTTTTTGTATTTTAATTAATATTTTGTATTTAAAATTATTAAAAAACTGTTTATGTTATGGATTAACTAAGATTTCGTTCGATACTTACTACCCATGAATGCAGTATGATTGTTCCTTACTGCGTTTATCAGTAGTTTTCGTTACTTACGGTACATGTGTTAAATGATTGATTTAAATTTTAGTTCTTACAACGTAATATATGCGCCGTATCTTTACAACTTACTGCATTTATGAGTGGGAGTGTGAATCAAAATAATTTATCAAAACTTTAAATGCGCAGTAATAATACAATTATACTGCGCTTATCATAAGCCAATAACGCTTTGATGTTGAACTTTCCCAAATGACCAAGGGGTAAATGAAACAAGTATTACAAAATAATTGCTGAGATCGCTTGTTATTCAATCAAAAATTAAGATATGGCACCCACTTTTAGATCTTAAATATACCAATCTAATAAAATAAAGACTAGGTTGTTCGTTTCAGCCGAAAGATGTCCACTGCTGGACAACGGCCTCCCCCAAGGATTTCCACAAAGACCGGTCCTGTGCCGCTCGCATACGACCTTCACCAGATCATCGGTCCACCTAGTGTGAGGCTTGCCCAAGCTGCGTCTTCCAGCTCATGGTCGCCACTCAAGAACTTTCCTGCCCCAGCGGCCATCATACAACTCATAGTGTCTCCAACCTTCAGAGAAGTGGGTACAGAACGGCATTTGACATGATTTTTGTCTTGTCAATTAAAGACCGATTTGTTGAGAGGCTCTATTGAGGCAATCGAGGATTGAGCTTAGATCTTCCACGTTCTCAGCCATGACTACGATATCGTCCGCGAATCAAAGATGGGTGATGTACTCGCTGATGATATTTATGCCCAATCCGCTCCAGTCCAGAAGCTTGAAAACATCTTCCAGAGTGGTAGTGAACAGTTTTAGAAATATGACATCTCCCTGTCTGACCCCTCGCTGCAACTGAAGTCCTGATCCCGGAGACGGACTGACATTGTGGCCTATTCGTACAAGCCCTTCAACGATTATATCTATAGTAAATTTGGCACCGTTGGAGAGACTGTAGCTTGAAGAGAGAAGTCTTTCTCATAGACCACAAATGCCAGACAAAGTTGCTGATTATTCTCCTCAGTTTTCTGCCATAGATAAGTATGTGGTCTATCATACTAAAGCCTTATCGGAAACCGATTTGTTCGGGAGGCTAGATGTCGCGTGAAACCATTCATGATGACTCTCAAAAACAGAATCAGAAGTGAGATGGGTATAAAATAAATTCTTCAACAAGGTTTTGTTGCCTTTTTTGAAGAAGAGTATCACCACACTTCTGTGCCATGCCGTAGGCGTTTTTCCCTCAAGGATGACGGAATCGAATAGCTTCTAAAGAGCCTTTAGTACCGGCGTTCCGCCTGATTTCAGAAGCTCAGCCGTGATTCCATCATCGCCCGGTGCCTTGTTGTTTTTCAGCTGTTTGAGAGCCATTCTAATCTCGTACAGACACGTCCGGGATATCTTCGGTATAGTGTCGGGTCAATCTAGCTCTTGGGTCTTCGGCTAGATTTGTCATTTGGACAGGTTTTCAACTTCTTCCAATAACGTAAGAGTCAGCCACTGCGTTCATAACATGTTAACACCTAGGCAGCACTCTGACAATCCTTAGTATGTACGCAGTATAATTGTAATTACTGCATTAATATTAAGTACAAGTCATCTGTTTTTTCTATGGAAACATAATATCAGTGTGTGTTTAAGTGGAATTACTGCACATATACTATGTGCAAGATGAACTTAACAATTGTAGAAACATAATAAGAATGATGTAATTGGCACATACTGCACTATTACTGTGTAGCAAATTAAGTAAGCGCGAGTATTCACATAATATTAAGTTATTATGTGCTCTTACTGCTAACATAGTATGTGAAGAAACCTACAATCTGCTCTTTACTGCGTTTATGATAATATGTATCTTCCGTTCTAAGATAGATAGAAAAAAACGGGTCTTTGATTCTTATAGATCGCGATGTCAGGATTCAGAATATTCAAAACAATCATAAATGCAGTAAGTGGTACTTACTGCGTTTATAAATTGTGCGGCAGTATAGTAAACCGCATGCTTTACACACTAAGTTAGAAGACTGAATATGCTGAAGTTAGGTTTGTTAAATGGAGTGGGTTTATTGTAAACAACATACCTACTACATGTTAATAATACAATGATGAATAAAAATTAGTGGTAAGTGGTTTGGCGTTATAAACATCAATGGTAATGGTTGTAAATATAAGAAAACATGATTTTATTGAGATGTCTCGACAAAAAATATTTAATTAACATGCTGTCTCAGTGAAAAAAATACCACTACTATGTAAAATATTGCATACATCATGCATACTACAAAACTTCAGTTGCTAAAAACAACATGCTGTAAAACAAATTGTCTACAAGAAAGGTAGCATACTACAAAACTTCAGTTGCTAAAAACACCATGCTGAAAAACAAATTGTTTACAAGAAAGGTAAACATAGATGAAAACATACCTTGCCCAGCAAAAGGATTGGTTCCTGGAGTTTGTACTGGAGCAGACGGGGCTCCACCAGGTCGAGGGGACGACCGTTCACTCGGAGCACGCCATGGCCGCGCTTGCAGTAAGCTACAGCGGTGGCGGTTTTCTAAAATAATAGATAATATCATAAAAATCAGGTACATGAACATAATTGTGCTGAAATTAAATACAATTAGGGGGCTAATATAATCCGTTTTGGAGGCTATTAGAAACGACAAGAGTGGCATGTCTTTTATTTTGATTTTTGTCCAACCTCAGAAATCTTTGGTGACAGATCGGTGCTAAATAACAAAGCCAAATCTTTTATCTATGTAATACAGTCATTATGTGGTTATACAGGGGTTTAGCTAAGCGTTCATAACTATTATGATAAAGTTAGAGTAAAATTTAGGTCTCAAGAATGTTTAGTACAGTTGTTTTGAGGTTATGTCAAGTTTTGGGGTGTAAATATTCGTCTCGCCAAAAATCAACATGATATTATTTGAGTAATAAAACATCTTACAATATTATTTAGACAGGCTAAGGGTGGCTTTCTAAGACAGTTGGTACGATGTAAATCTTTAGGGCCGCCACAACAAATAGGTTACAATGACCAAGATAGGAAAGGATTATGCTCAAAATCGGTCATAATCATTAATTTGATCTTCATAATGTTCCATTTACAACAAATTTAGAATAATTCTGCAATAAACAAATGCCATAAACCAAGAAAACTAGTCACAAACACGTGGACTACCGCTAACCACTCACCTTGCGTCCGAATACTTGGACAGCCTGAATAGGTTCTCGTCTCGTCTGAAATATTAAAATAAACAATTTATACACTGAAACTAATGCAATGTTTGAACAAGTAAAAACATTTTAGATTTAATTTTTTCAAAAAGAAATTGCACACGCACCTCCTGTGGGGCAGCCATTTTGACAGAAAAGAATGAACAAGTGAATGAGTGATGAATTCTTGACACAAAGAACGAATGAGTATAAATAGAGATGTGAAAACCGATACATTTACGTAAAAAATAATCATTCATCGTCATTTAATAACAAAACATTATCATTCTTGTTATTTAAAAAAAACTTTTTATTTGAATGACAATAATTTTTAATTAACATTGTTCAATAAAATAATCATCTAATGAAATGTTAACTTCGCTTATCTTACAACTTGTATTGCGACATCTAGCGACGAGTAGAGGTACTAAGTACTAGTGGTTCTTATCAAAGTTACATAAATTATTCTATTCAAAACTAGATGTCGCTGTCTCCTGTTCCTTAGGTTGCGTTTATCTCGTACGGTGATGACTCAACCGGCAAGCGCTCGCGTGCGTGCGTATGTTTTGTATTCTTGGTACGTAATCGTCGGTGAAGAGTCGTGCGGTATGCGCGACGGTAGCGCACGCTTACAATGCACCGCGAAAACGCCAACATTCCCGCGACTGTGTTAGAACTTGGACAAAACAGTGTGAAACAAAGTTGTTGAGAGGAGAAATTTGTGCATTCAAATTGTTTATGTAATGAACAAAGTTTCGTGTTTGAATAGTTCGACTGGATTTTTGAGTTTTGAATTATTGTTCAGAGTTTTGAAGGTAGGTAAGTGAATATTTTGACTTTAGTTTAAAAAAATCTACCTTACTTTATTTATTTATTAGTAAACAATAAATTGTATTGTGTTAATTTATTGAATTGTTAAATTAAAAAGTCTCCGCTTCTATTTTAAATTGGTATCACTCCAATACTTAATAAAAAAATATATTTATTAAATAATCAAAAACAAAAAAATTTCAACAAAGCGAAGGGTTTTTATTATGACGCTTTTTGTATGATCTAACTAAACAAGTAGACGCGGTGCGTCACAAAAAATACTAAATGATTCATGTAGGAATGTGGTCAACTTCTTAACCACCTCTCGTGAGTGGTCGCCCTAAACAGGAAAAAAATTATTTTTTATTAACTAGGACTCTTGTAAACAAAATCTTATTCGCAAACAAACTCAATAACGTCTAAAATATCGCAATTTTATATTCCCGTCTAAAATTAGTTTATTTCTATCGAGTATAAAAATCTCGAAATAAATAAATTCTATAATTTATTTAATATTCAAATAATTATTTCACCACTGAAATCGAAGCAAACATTTATTGTTTTTGTGCAAGAAATAAAAAAAAACTGTTCAATTTATTACATTTGATACATTTATTTCATTTTTATTTGCTTATGGACATGTTTTTAAATTATTGCAATAGAAAACAATCATGATTGGTTTTGTAAAAAAAATAAACTTTAAAGTCGTCATTACAACTCAATTAATACTTACTTACTTAAAAGCAAGTTTGGAAATACTGGTGGAAATACATTTTACCAACTAAACTGAAAACGACATTGATTGTTCCTGAAAAACTTCACTTATTCTTTTAAAACAAAACAAATAAACTTTGTTTTCATAGTTGCGATCAACGAGAAAGTTTAAATTATACTTTTATGGTTCTAATGCAATAACCTACACATAACATGCTGTAAATTTAGCAAATAAATAGGTACATTTAGTTAATTATGCAAGCAAAAGCGGCGAAATAAGTTGTTTACTTATTAATTAGCGAATTTTATGATCATAGATCGGATGTTACGAAATATGTATTAATTAATTCATGTAACCAGCTATTTACCGCATCATTTCACAATAAATCAGCATAAAATTAACATAAATAAATGACTCAAATATTATTTATACTTTTTAAGTACAAATTTGACTCGTTCAGTGAAATCAGTCAGGGTTATTTATTATATAACTTATATTTTGTTTATTTTAGTTTACTCCACTTTCACTTGAAAATTAAAAGTGTTTACATTGTCATTGTCCTTATTTCTATGTTTTTTTTTTGTTTCATTGTTTATGTGACATTAGTTCGTATGACATATTATGTAAAATCCATTTGATTTGTTTATTTAAACCGATTTAACCACGTGTAATTACCCCTTACATACTTATAGCAAAACAAAGGTCATGAATCACCCACTGGGTAAATCTTCTGCGGGGTCAATGTTCTGTGAATAGGAAGTTTCAAAGGAACATTCATCCCCATTGGGAGAATCCCATTTAAATTCCGTTTTTCCTTCGGTTATTTATTTGAAAATCTTACTTTAAACGAGCAACGACATTGAAGAGACGGCTGAGTTGCAACACCAAACTTTGACCGTAACTATAACGTTAACTAGTGATTTGTATGTACTTTGACAGATTTTTGACGTTTGTTACAGTCAAAGTAAGATGGTGCAACCCAGCCTAATTGAATCTTAGTAGGGTCAACAAGGGCATCAAGAATGAAGGTATGATATCTAGTAGATTACATACAGGTAACATACATAATTTCTGATAGTATTTATCTTATTAATTCAGACAGCTACAAGTTACAACTCTACACTATCTATTCGTTTATTTATCAAATCAATAACTATTTGACCTTAATTAAAACCTCAATTAAAATCAAGAGATAAAAGTCAAACTTTACTAGTAATTAATAAAAAAAACACTAATTCTGCACAGTAGCCATACCAATACCATAGATAGACAAATAAACAACCGGTCAACGACGGATGTTAATCACTGTAAGGGAAATTGTTCTCTGCGCGGGCATTACTGTACGGCATTTCAATTTGGTTTTCATCTTAATAAATTTTATGTCTGCTGGTTTTTCTAAATTAATATTTTCTTTTTTGATTTAATTTTATAATTTAGATCAGATTTTCCGCCAGTAACTTCACAAAGATTTCCCGCCTTATCCAATCTATGGTCAGGTTCAGGTTACTTTTTAATCGTTACGGTTCTGGCGCTAACGTTAATCGGCCAAACCGTTGAGTGGCCGACATGTCATGACTTCCTGCGCAGTTATAGGTATGTCTAATTGTGTCATGGTGGTCCGTTTAGGATTAACCGGGTAACTTGGTATCCATCCGCTAACTTTATACAGGTACAATGTAACACTGTATTGTTTATTCCGTGATCTTATGAATAAAATCGCTTAGCTCTTAGCTCAAAATTAGTAAAATAAAACCTTTCTACACATGTCTCACAACGACTTGCTAGATTAGGTACAGATACACCGTGTATATGCCATCTTACTTTAACAAAAGTTAAAAGTCTGAAACTCCAACAGAAACACCGGTTATAGTCAGTCACGATTAAAATGGCTAAAGGTGGTGCAACTCAGCCTCAGCTGTTGTACACAGTGAGCAAATAAATAAATTGAGTTTCTTTTATTTATTAATTATACAGATATTATTATACTTATTATTGTGTCAGTATAAAAAATATTCACTCCAGTTTAGAAATTTACGATAAATAAGAATTTAATAAAGATTAATATCAAAAATAAATCTCAAGTGTCTCGTGCAATGTCACACTGCAATATTTTATTGCAACTGACATGCTATTCGCATGAGTGCCAGCAGTAAAAAGTGAAGTTTATCCATTCTACTAGATCATTCTTTTAGATCCCATTTGAAATCGATACCGCAAACCTCGAACAGAAACAAGGATAAACTCGACTCTATTCTGTTAGCAGTAAATCCTACAATTATTAGCAAGTTGCAATACCAAGTTTATTTTGTAGGGTTTCAGATAATGCTATTAGTGGTGCATGTACACTGATACTGCGCTACAGAAGCCCTACAATCGGTGAAACATGCAGATTTCCTGCATAAGTCGGTTAGGACACGTTTTACGTTTTTTACCATGTGATTCTGATGAGTAATGACTAATAAAGCAAGTGCAATATTATTATTTTACGACAAACGTAAAGGTTATAAAAATAACTTGAAAAAATCGAACTGCCTAATGCGGGAATCGAACCCACGACCTTTTGATTGCCGGGCGACTGCTCTTCCATCTGAGCTACTTGATATTGAACCATGAGCAACTCTAAATGCTTATTAAAACGTGAAGGTATTCGCATTTTTTTCATATTTTCATAATGTCACATCCGGACTTGGGTATTAGAAAATCATTATACTGAAAATCGTATCTTGCTTTGAACAGTTTCTTTCTCATATTGTAAGTAAACTTTTGGAAGGATAACATGTTGCTGAAAATGCTGAAATCTTTTTACGTGAAAAGTAGCAGTTTCATGAAACATTACATATGGCAAAGCATACTGTTTAACAGTAAGCTTTGATATAAAGATTTTGATTTTTTCCCGGAGTTCCGTAAGTCAACTAAGTACATTATTTTGCAGTCGCTTAAATACATTTTGTATATTTATATTGTACAAATACTTAATTGAACATGCTTGAGTGCGCAAATCTAAATCATGTTGGATGTAACTAACACGGTTAGTAGCGGTAAACTGCTTTTTATCATTAATTTTCTACTGTTCAAACAATTCGCTCGCATTCCTGCGATAAATCAGAATAAGTAGCCTACTTTTTATGATAGGTGTGTTTGTTTGTATTGATACAATGTGCACTTATCAATAACAATCCAAATAATATGTAAGGTAGGTAATATCCTAGTGAAATATCGTTAAAAGTTCTGGATAATCTTAATCACAAAAACATACTAATGGATTTTTAAGTTTGAGTTGCACCACCTAACTTAACAGTAACTAAAACGATAACCAGTGCTTTTTGTATGGAGTTTGACAGAGTTCTGACGTTTGTCAAAGTTAAATTAAGATTGTGCAACCCAGCCTAAGAAGTATTCAAAATCTACAAGTAGGTAATTAAAAACGAAACTTCTAGTAAATCACACTAACAATATACTTTGACTTCATTGATTTGTTTCCAATAAAATTGTAAATGCAGATCTATTGATTCCAATTGGTCTGAATTGATAAAAAAGCTTCTTAGCTTTAAAGTTAAAATACTTAGGTAATAATAATAATTACGCTCGACCGACTGTAATCTTACGTTATAAATTTTCTTATGGTCTTATTACACCATCAAAATACCGTTTTAACCCTTAAAAGGCTTGTTCAATTAATTCTATACTGTCTATGGTTCGACATGCACATCGATAGTGAAATTCAATTTGAAAAATTAACGTAATCTAGAAAATAACAGAACTTTTACTTATTCGTGTTCTTACCAAAAAAGGTTTGACATCAACACCGCCATTGATCATCGATATTATAATTACGAATTTAAACATCACTGCTAAATACTGCTAATATTTTAAAGAGATAGGAAAATCAATTCTAGTGCTTAAAAATACGCACTTTCCTTTGCGCGAGATAGTTTTATTTTTAGAGGTATTGGCGCAGAATAACATTAAATTAGTGCATAAAAAAAACTAGGCTGCATAGTTTATGACCTATGCCCGCGGCCTTAGCCTCTTTGGAATTCCAATTCAAAAAAGGAATCATGACTGACATCTGCTAAGCTCCAACATTTTTATGTCTTTGCCTGAACTTTTTTTTGCTGTCATTTGGCTATAATTTTGTCCCAGACCCAAAACTGTACTCGTATATTGTTGGAGAATTTAGTAGATAGACCTTCATTGAAAATCCTAAATGTACACAAACAGAACTCGTGAAAGTGTTCGATGTATTTTATGAATTCGTTAACACGTCAATCTAACTGGTATAAGCAATTC